GTTAAATTTAAAAATTCTAAAATTAATGTTGAGACATCGTAATTAACCTGTAAATATCATATTAAAGTCTCTATGAATGGTGCGGCATGAAAGGCTTTTGATATCGGAAAATGTGTATGTGATAGAGCCTTTGCTCTTTGGCTGTGAGACCTCTCAGGTTCTTTTAATGAGCACTAACACTGTATTTGAAAAGAATTTAAAGAGAATGTAGCTGGGCAATTTAATATTCTACTAGTCACTGGTTTCCTTTATATATGTAGATATACTATATATAGGTTTGAAAATAAAATACAGGCCTTTGTGCAGGTTAACAAAACATGTTTTGTAATAGTTGCTGCATTTCTTTTGTATCCATTAAAATGAAATCCTTACTCTATTTTTATAAAACAATATCAAATTCTTTATATGGTAGGGTTGTTACAAAAATTAATAGGTTTTGTACTTAACAAAGCCACTAAACTTTATATTTGCCACCAAATCAATACTTCATATAATTCTGATATGTACAAATTAAGTCAATAAGGACATTAACTCATTCAATATTAACGAACATTGATAGCTTCTAAACAAACACAAACTCTAACATTGAAAAGTTAAAGGGTTTCATTCAGTGTACATTGAATAAAGTTTCGTTAAATATTTTATTTCTATGGTTCCGTCTGAAGAATTAATTATCATTTTATAATACTAAAGATGATACAAAACTGAGAAAATCTATTACATTTCAACCACGTATCTTTACTATATCTAAAATAAGTTATAATTGTAACCGTGATGTATATTTCAGAAGAATTTGAATTCTAAATGTTTTCGATCACGTAGGGATCTCTAAACTCCGTTATTCTACTCTAGCCATTGGTTTTTCAATTAACATCGTCGTAATGAAAGCTACGCTCCGCTGCACCGCCGTCGCATCATTCAATGAAAATATGTATTCCTTGGTCTGTTATGTCACAATAAATTTGGTTAGTCTCAATGGCTATAAAATATTGAGACTCATTTTAAGCTGCACACAGTACCAAACTTTTTGTAAAGCGTAACGTCGTTGCACCAGTAAAATGTTGCAAAATTTATAGATAAATTTAAAAATTATCCTCGTAGTTTCACATAATACTACTAATGCCTTTTATGAGAAAGTTAAGTATTGTAGATATAATTGAAGATCTTATTCATTAAAGTGAATAGACTGAATAGATTGTATTGAAGAATTTAGAAAAATATGTTGCATTGTACAGTATCATCATGGCTACTGTTTATATCTAAAGTCAGTGTAATCCCCGCGCCGGGGCCACCGCAAATATGTTTCATATTATATGAAGTCAGGTAACACAGATTATAGAGCGCTGCCTGTGTGTCAACATACATATTTTTAAGCACATATTATTGGGTTCTTTCTGGATTCAATTCCGTCGTCCAAGCGGGAAAAAAATGCGGTCGAAAAGCTATGTTTTTTATATATTTATCTTTTTTTGTGCTCAGATTGTTCTAAACTTTGACGTTATATTAGTACATAATATATGTATGCTGTGAGTCGTTTCTTTTATAATATTATAATTTTAATGTCAACATTTGTTAGTAAATCTCTAAGGATAACTTATTAGTCAGCTGGGTATACCCTTGTCTCGTCATTCGGAGCCCATGTAAAGTTTCTGACATGAACTCAACACTAACAAACTATGTTGTAAAGTTAAATTTAAAAGGTGACTAACTAATTTTGTAATCTGAAAGGGTTATATGAGTGTAGGAAAAGAAATTGATGTAATGAAATCTAAGATTTTCGCGAGTACTCATTTATGTATTATAATATTTATTTATAAATGAAACTCATATTTTCGGGTTTACTACATACGCGTTTTTATTTTTGACTATTAACTACATACTCCCGACGTTTCGGCTACTTTACAGCAACCGTGATCACGGGCAGACGAGATGTCCCGTCCCGTGATCACGGTTCTGTTTGATGGTGGTACTTCCCCGGTCAAGCCAGCTGTAGTTATTTGAACACAACTAGGGTCAACCATTAAAACTTGTATTTAAGAAATAACGTAAAAAATTAAACAAACCAACACTGTTTATACCAATGTGTGATATAACAATTAGAAAAGACTGAGTTACTCTATGCTAATATGAGTTTACACAGCTTTATTCATTAGTCAGAGTTTTTAGAATTTATTTCAACCCTTTTTGTATCGTAAAGAGGATAACAATGGTTCATGGAAAGTTAAAACAAAGTCAATCCATTCATACAAAAAAAAATAATATGAAAGTTGCCATTGTATTATTGGTAATGAAATAAACTTTTATAGTACCCTAATTTTAATAATTGAATTCTTTTATTTAATTGTATACTGTGATATCCATATTTTAAATACAAGTAGTTCTAAGTAAACATTATCTAGTACAACCAATTATTGACATTGAGTAACACAATGAAACACGTGTGAAAAATACACAAGAATGTAATATTTAAAGGTTCGATATTCATTAATTATTTGGTCATTTAAATAACTTATACATTGTACTTGAACTCAAAAATCAGCGAATTATTATGTATATTTTTAAGATTTACATAACAAAATCACAGACAGAGGTGAGATACATATAATATTCTAAAAAAACTTTCATATACAAGTGGGGTAAATGGGTCACATAGGCTCTTTGAATGGCCAAAGCTTACCTCAGATGGGATAAATAATGGGGTCATATATCAAAGGTAAAGAATAGCCTACTTAATCCTAACACTGCTAACTTTGAAGACAACCGTTATGGTGTGCCCATATATTTATCAAGTGTACAATTTTGAGAATAATAAATCTTAAAGCAAGTGTTCACAAAATAATCTTTTACGATATTCAGGTTCTGTGATTACAAAACGAACGTAACATCCATTTTTTATGTAATGATACCTTAGAATTTTGCATGTACTCATATTTAAGGAAGTTTTTTGGATACTACGCTTTTTTTTATAATACATAATCCTGACGTTTCGGTTCTTTTACAGCAAATTTGATGACGGGCAGAAAATATGAAGTTGTCCGATTGTTTAATTATAAAATTATTGAAAGTACGTAGTATCTCGAAAACTTACTTTCATTCAATTTTTTTTATGTTATTAAGTTTTTTTTTTAACTTCCAAATCGTTATTTCGTCTGTCAATATTACAATCATAAAAAGCAAACCCTTAAAACATATATAACGACACTTTAAAATTCGCATTGAGCCAAAGAATTTTTATCTTCTTCATTTTAGTATTTTATTTTTAGATTCCACTCCAATCGTGTTCGCCCACTCCGCAACAAATAAACACTGGTCTTTCAAGTTTAAAAGACTTAAAAATTTACTGAATTGAATCTCATTTCCCAAGTTTCAATAAGATTCATATTTCTGAAGTTATTGCATTTGGGTTTCACTATTATTTCCTTTAAAACGAACGCTTTTCTGGTGAAGCTTATATGTTTTGCGTTTGAAAGATAAATTTGAGGTAAATGCAGATTTTTACAAGCAATTAGTGTTTAGTCAATAAACCTCGCCTCGCTAGCCGTCCACTAATTAATCCACCAACATTGGTAGGGTACAATTGTTGACCGTTTAATTGCTTTGACAAAGCTAACTGTACATATAAGATATATGTGCGGTTGGACCGATGGAAAGTGATTAACATGGAACAGAACCGCGTAACAAACACTAATGAAACAAATACAACTAAAACATTTGATGGAAAGTAAAACATGGGAAGATTAGAAGAGACTGGGCAGAAGGTACTTCTATCTGTATATAACTTGTAATTGCAGTAACTTGTAGTTTATTGTAAACTGCAAATAGGAGAGAAAAATGAATTTGACTAAAAAATATAACAATAATAATGTAACTTATATTACATTATTGCTTAAGAAGGCTAAAAAGAGCAAAATATGCAAATTTGTCTGACAATAATTATCTATCCAGCTAAGTTTGGTTACACTTTATAACAATAGAAGCTTTAATGACAATAATATACTTGATAAAAGGCGTGGAAAGGTCGGTAACATACAACAAAGGGTATGTAATATTTAGTTTGATATAATGTCAAATGTTTCCATTTAGCATAGATTGTTAATACTCGTCCCATCTTACAAGCGGAAACTTGATTTTTCTTTAACAAAATTTATCTTTCATTTAAAATAAAATAAAATCGTATAATTACAGTATTATAAAAGAAATGTGATGCACAAAGGCTAACTTATCTCTTAATAGAATTCTCTGTCAAAACCCTTTTGATAGACGAAACAAGATCAAAAATTGTGGCTCCACCACAATTTTTGATCTTGTCTAGATAAAAAGAGAAGAAAAAAAAAGAGATTATATTTGTAGGTATACTTAAATAAGCATTAAAACTAATACAGGGTATTTGTATGTGTGTGGGCATATATATACATAAATATATACACACATACATACATGTACTGCCGAATATAACAATAATATAAACCTAAGGATTTATTTAAAGTAATAAATTAAATATTATTGTGAGAAGAAATCAATATGAAGAATAAAAAAATAATAAATTTCAACAAATTAGTCAACAGTACTACACAGAAATAAACCGGTTTCTTATCTAATACAAACATACGAAAGGTTATTATTAAAGGCCTCAAACAAAAAATGTACCTTATATTTATAGAAGCGGGTCAAAGGAAATGATTTATTATTAATATCTCATGATCAAGTCCGACATGCAACCAACTAAGCAAACGAATAAAAGAAGCTAATCACGATCTCTACACAAACAACATTATGGAACATTAATATAAAAGAAATGAAAATAAAGATGACTCTCATAATAAATGTTCCTGTACGAATAAAAATATATTTTTATCGGAACAGAAATAAAATATTCATACAAATCGTTCTCACATATTAAACTGAGATTAAATTCTATTTCCAGATGCCGTGTACTTCTCAAATGACGTGATAGTGGTGGCGATGCGCGCGAGGCTCGCGTCACGTGCGTCGCGCGTAACATGCGCTCGTTAAACGTAACAGCTTGTGCGGCGCTGCTTGAAGACGTTGACTGGAACGAGCCGGTCAGCGTCGCCAGCTTAGCCGTGCTAGCTCTCATTGACGTCCTGGTCATAGCAGGTGAGATAGCATTCAATTACCTCCTGTTTTTTATATCTCATAGGAATAAACGAGCAGACGGCCTACCTGATAGCAAGTAGTTACCGTCGCCTATAGACATCTGCGCCATAAGAGGTGTTGTAGATACCTTGCCGACCTTGATTGTGGAGGAGCCATCTGGATACTTGATGTTTAAAAGACCCCATGTTATAGATCTCTCATAAGATACCCAATAGAACTATAATACCAGAATGTTAATTATTTTTGGAATAGGTACATTATTACACTAGGTATTCGTTTTTCTTAATTTGATCGTCTAAGTATTGCAATTCATCTTATTGGTCGACTTTGTTTATACATTGACATAAGAGTTATTCATTAGATCTAAAAAAGAAAATTGACGACAATATAAGTAAGCGCAGTTATATTAAAAATAATGCTGGTCTTGGTCATCAGTTATTTAGGTACTTTATTAGATCAATAGGTTGTTAAAATGCACCTTCATAGATATTTTTTATGGCAAAAGCAAAAAAATACAAAAATAAAAAAAAGTAGATTTTGCATGTAAATTTGTCATTTCTCTCTGAAGTTGGCAAATTACATTTTTATGATAGTATGGCTTACAATTGGTAATATCAAAATTGTATGATATATCTAAAGAAGTAGACGACACTTGATTTTTTTATGAAATTAAGATAATCGGGAAACAATGAAACCGATGGTTGATCAGAGTAACGGAGGGAGAAGGGACATACTTGAGGTAGCTGGATTGAGAAAATGTATGTAAGGGCCTTGCATCTTTGCTGCAAGTTAAATGATGAAATAAAAAACATTGTTAACTCCGTGCAGTGCTGTCAACCTAATTAATTATATTTAAACATATAGTTTTAGTAAAAGCCTGCGCCGGTGATGATTATCAAAAAAAATATGTTATAGGTAATTTTAGCACTTTAAATATGTATAATATGTATTCATGCATAGTATGTGATATCAAATGCAACGAGGAGAGCAAATGTGAAACAAAGACGATGATACTGTGTCGAATAATCCCTATATATTATAACACAGCACGTCTTCAAAGAGATACATTTTCAATCTGTTTAAAAGGCTCGCACCGCAAGGTTTTAGAATGGAAAGTACGTCATATGCAAGACTGCGCAGGGGCATACTGTTACATGAAATTCAATCACACAAGTGCAATAAATGTACAGCTAAGTAAACAGCTATGTACTGATATATTAAAGACATCATTACCGTGAGTAAATTCATACTATTAAAAACTATTTTGTTTGAACCATTTTTACATTAAAGATTTTCAAACCAGCAGTTAACTCAAAAAAATGTAATTATTTAAACTATTTAGAATGCAAGATGAAAAATATTGCACATTTCGCAGTCACAAAAACCGTTCAGAATATATACGAAGCTGAAATTATAAGATAATGCCAAAGAAAAAAATCTGGCAACTTCAGACGGGACCGCTGATTGTATAGGATTTAAACGGTTCTCTCATAAAAATAGATTCCACCGACAAATTGAAATTGCAGTTTTACAGACTTCACTGATTCTTTTATAGGTCGCTTGGGAATCGAGTTTTTATTATAGATAGCAATAAATTATTCTGGTCTCGTTACAAACTAATCAAATAGACCTCAACAATATAACGAGCTTCCTTTCTGTCCTGAGATTTGAGTACAGAATAGTTTGTATCCTTCAGAGAGGGCGCGGTGTACATTTGTAGGTGTCAGTGGGTTTCCATTAGTAGATTACATTTGTTTGTCGGCACCAAATTGAATAAATACAACATAAAAAAGTTATATCTTATTATATTTATGATTAAACTTTAACACTACTTCAGTCCTCAATACTCTTTAACTTTCAGTGCCAGTTATAAAAAAATATAATAATTTTTAAACATTTTTTTTTAATATCAAAATTGTTTTTATTCTTCTACCTATAATTTTGTTAGTTATTCTTTTTATATATTTATATTTTAATAAATAGAAACTTCCTCTTTCTAACCATTCATTTCAGAAAAAAACTGTTAAATTTCATTTATACATATTTGAATAAAAATTTAATAAAAGAAATACATTAATATGGAAAGGATAAATAAAGCACTCAGTAACATTATGCAAAAATATTTCATCCACAGTTCCTTTGTAACACCTGCGTACTGTAAAGTGAAACGAAAAGTAATAAGTGTACACGCCTGTACGCTCAGCTGACGTATCTATGAATATATACTAAATAATATAAAAAATTAACAAAGAGTTAGTCTTGAAATTAATATATGCATTAGAAAAGTAAAGAATGTATATCATTCTTATACAGGGTGACTGGTGAATTACTATCGATATTTGAGGACGTGATATTTGACGATCATATATGACAAAATAAAAATTAATAAAACATAAATATTAATAAACTTCTAAGTAAAGTTAACCAAAAGTTATGTAATTAATTACGCATCGTGTGAACCTATAGATTAGGTATACACTGACACTCACACATACGCATGTCGTGACGTGGTGTTGTATCAGCACGCCGCCGCACGCGTCCACACTTGAACACTTGGAACGTGTCAACACTTTATTTATTTATACGGAAATTTTGTCAAAATTTAAGTACCTATTTTTTTTACATAATTCGAATGAGAATCATGTACCGAGTATGCTCCTTAAATATTGATAGTAATTCACAGTCACCCTGTATAAAAATGATAAATACCGACATATTAAATATTTATACCGACAAAATATAGTCAATTTTTTTTATATATATCACCTGCAACTTCAATATTTAATTATTTCCCATTAATTTATGAATCAATTTGCTTTTAACGTTAAACATTTTGTTATAATAATACCTAATATAACACAAGTACTTTGTGGTATTTCTTTTAAAATGACAAAATCTATTTTCGTTTTCTAAATTGAACCCTTGCGAGACTTATCCAGCGGCGCGTATGAAATGATGTTTCACGCAAGAAATAAAATACATCGATATTATAAAATTAAATTTATAATGACAATAAAGACATAATATAATATAAAAGTTCAAAAACTTTTAATAAAAAATCATTTACAAACATTTATACAAGAAAACATTTAATGATATCTAAGATTTTCATTTCGTTATTTCAATTAATTAATTAATCCAATCCAATGTCTAAGATTTTCGCTAGTAATCATTTAAATGAAACTAAGGTTTTTGGATGATACTACCCGTTTTTGTAATCCGAAAACCGTTTCATTTAATTCAATTAATATTATTACCTGGTTATTACTTTAATGAATTAAAATCTTTTACTTGATTTCCGATACATACTAGTATTAAAATATATACCGTATGAATTTTCATAATATTATTTCATGTATTTATTAAATCTATTATTTTTTCCATAGTTTAGTGTATTATCATCTTAGTGTCTTGTTTCCAAATTAAAAAATTGTATACAAATCTATATATATAAAAATGAATTGCTGTTCCTAGGTCTCACTAAAACTCGAGAACGGCTGAACGTATTTTCTGAACGGATCTTATCATAGTCTTGAAATGTTTGTGGGGGTTCAGGGAAGGTTTAAAAGCTGAAAAAATTTTATTAATTTCCGGGAAAATCCTAAAAACAGCGATTTTTTTATTTCCCATACAAACGGTTTTTTGACATTAGATTTGACAACTTACTAATATGTCAATCATTTTGTCGCACTTCAGAACACGCAGATTTATAGCTTAAAGGTAAACACCAAAAAAATAAATTGGACATAATTTATTTCTTGATTGAGGCAGTATATATCATTCTTATTGATTTGAAATGAATAAGAGAGTTCATTCTCTTGGCTGTAGTTTTTACCGACTTTCTAGACTTCTACTAAAACAAAGTACATACATACATATACATATGCATATACTTTTTTCATCTTAACTAGAGAATTCGGGTTAATCGTTTTTTATCATATTTTTTATACTATAACATTTGTTTTCAAATTTCAACAAGTTCAAGGAAAAGAATTAATTCCAAAAAATACTTAGAGTATATAGTGGGAAAGGTTGTTTTTTTTCGCTTATTTTCATTTAATTTTGATGTAAAATTGATATTTAAAGATAATGTGAAGAATAAATATTACCATTCTATACAAAATTTATATTTGCCGAATATCTGAAAATTCGATATCTCGAACCTTTTCATTATTGTCCATGTATTTCAGAGATCTCTCCCAGGGCTGGGAGCCAGCTTAACAAAAAGTTTTGGTACGCAAGAACTTCTGACAGTTCTATGCATATTAAACGACTAGATATGACAAGGATTTAGAGTTGTACTAACTATTACAACTAATATTTGTCACGTGACATTTAATTTTACTTATGTTTAATGCTTGAAACGCGTTGTTTTGCTCGTTTAAAATGTTGTATGAAATTTTTTAAGTAGAAAATCTTAATGGAGATGAAAGTTATAGTTTATGGGTTTGCTACTCGATTTATTAAACAACATTAACAGATCAACGTGTCAAAAAATTTACAGGAACTTTTTACCCATGCTGATGGTTTCTGTAAAGTAAAAGAAACGAGTTAAATGTTATGTAATGACTTCCAAAACCATAGTTTTGTTAAAATATAATACAATACATGCGTACTATAAAAACCTTAGATGTCCATTATAAAGAGTGTTTATATGAATTATTGTAGCTTTTTTATGTATAATTGGCGATTTATTTATATTGGTATTGAGGAAACGATAAAGTTATTTTTAAATTGTCTTACTTATTTACATAACTTCGGTATTAGAATATGCTGGTATACAAGGAATGTTAAATAAAAGTTCATAACTTCAAAATACACTTAAATAAAAATTTATTTACCACTTAATGTAGTCAAATATTATATGTAATGGAATGGACCCTATATTATAATCGTTTATTATATTGATATCATAACAAAGTTCTACATTTTGTATGTATTGAATTATAAAATCTTAATAGAATCACGAAAAAAACTCATCGGAAAGGATCGTAATAGTAAAAAAATTCAGGAGCCCAGGCGGTTTTAATGATAAAAATAAAAGCAAACGGTACGGCCTATTTTAAAAATGAACAATACAATTGAAACGGTAATGGCATCCGCTGCCATAGCTTCCCTTGCTATATTATTCAATAAGCTCTTTGTTATTACCTTTCCTCGATTCGGTTACTCCTATCTGAGTACGATTGTCTTGCTCAGCGTTATTGGCTTTACTTTTATACATACATACGTGTCTCGATTTGTGTTTAGAAAATCTTATTTGCTCCACTTCTAGATTTCATGTAAATATGTTTGTACAAAGTAGTTTATAAAACGAAAGTCCCTCGACAAATAGGAGCGTAATATAAGTAAAAAATTTTGAATAGAAACGAAATAAATGTAAGATTTTTAATTATTAATTAATTTTAAGATGCTTAAAAATTAAGGAATTCTTACGTCAAAAATATCAGTAGTATAATAAATTCATCAAGAAGATTCTATAGTAAAATCCAAGACAAAATAATATCTATCTGTTTTTTATAGTTACGAAGCATTCTGATCAATAGCTGATTCAGAAATGATCAAGTATAGTACAAGTCTATAAAATTTTTATCATACAATTTTGTTTTCTAGTCAACTCGATGAGCAATTATTAGATTTTCCCCAGTCGCTACAATCGAGTGTTACCTTCTCAGATGGGACGGAATTATTGAGTTACAAAAATACAATTTACAAACAAATTACTGTACGATACATACTAACCTTTTGTAATTTACAATAAACTATTTAATAAATACATTTACAATTCAAAGTTATACAAAACACTAAGTTTCAAGAGTGTTCTAACAATCATATGTATATGAAAGTATATGGACGCTTCTAAATGCAAATTCCTCACATTACAATTGTTATTACAGCTGCTTTTCATACGATGAGTGGGAGTGCTGGAACCTAATCCCACTTTCCCTTTAAGTCCAATAACATTATTACATTTCTTCACTTATCTCCAGTCAGTAAAAGTTTTCATCGCCAGACACATACGGGGCGTTACTAGTTCTTCATTCTTTAGTTTTCTGATAATACTGTTGAATATTGTACTGTTTCAGTAAACTTTCCAAAGTACTGTAACGATTTTCATTGTGCTAAAGATGCCGTAAGTATACTCTTCATATGAAGACTCCTTTTCTTCTTCCTTCCTTCTTTCCCAGCTTTTGCCTATAAATAATGCTCTCAGAAAGTATATATCACTCAGAAAAATCACATTGGTACTTGCCTGGATCGAACCCGTGCCGTCATGCATGAGATCCGGGCCATTAACCACTAGGCCAATACTGACTATATGACGACTGAATATAAATATAAACATACATAATATTCTCATTACTTTATAAATTCTTATTGAGCTACTTTCTCCAGGGGATAGCCGGCGACCCCTTAATTTGATCGGTACTTTTTATGAAATAGTCAAATTAACCAGCGAGCCTCGTAGTTAGCAAAAAAGTTATTAAATTTTAGATCAATATTGAATAATTCATGATTGGAAATTGGAACTGACTGTTCAAAATTAATTTGTTTTTACGTATTCAAATAAATTTAAGGGGATTTAATGGATAACTCGACATTATTTACTTTTCCGCCATCATCGATAACGTCTTTCATAATTTAGAAATTCTCTCATTCGACTAACATTTTTTACTTTTGATGCTATACATTCAAAATTTGTTTTAAACCCACAAAATTATTATGTACAAAATTATGATTTATAAGAAAATTTATATAATTCTGAAGAAATTATTTTATCGATTTATAATTATGTCAATATATTTTTTTCAAATCACATAATGTACTATAAGCATATAGTAAAATTTTGCTAACAATAAGATTTTCTCTGAAATCTTTATTTTATACTTATTCAACAATACTACAATAATTCCTGTCACTAAATCCTAGTTCCCATACACCTTGTACTGCTTGTGTAATCACAGCAAACTTACTATAATACTAAGACTTTCACGAGCTTTCATTTAAATGAAACTAATGTTATTCGGTTTACTATTCCTCATCTCATTTGCCCGTGATCACGGTTGCTGAAAAGTAACCAAACGTCATAACTAGTAGTTAAAAAATAAATACGCAAAGTAATCCGAATAAAATAAGTTACATTAAACTTCACTATAATCTAGAAAATAAAGAATTAATGTACTAATATATAATTATTCATTTAAGTATTAAGAAAAAATCCAGTTTAAATCTACTAAGAGAGTCGAGTATCTAAGTAGACTCACTTCAACTTTTACAATTTTCTTTCTTCCTTGACTCAAAGTTTAATATAAACTAATTAAGACTGTGGAGTTAACAGTTAATTGCTTTAACTAGGTTTTGGTGTTGGTATTAACAGCTTGTAGAGTAGAACATTATAAAGTGTGGATAATTACATACAGAAAGTTCGTCGTGCATTAATAATAAATAATTTAAAACCGTTACAAAAACACATGTTTTTAATGTCTTAAAATTATTTTTTTTTTTAAGATTTTGTATTTTAAGACCAAGAAGATTCACATCTCGTCTGCTCGTGATCACGGTCGCTGAAAAGTAACCGAAACGTCGGAAGTGTGTAGTTTATTACAAAAATAAAGCACGCGTAGCATATCCTAATAATATTCGTTTCATTTAAACCAGGAGGATATTTTTTATGAAATTTATCTTAAACATTTTTATGATATTATAATTGTTTGCTACTAAAAAAATGTATTTAACATAAATCTTTCGTATAAAAATCATCGATTTTAGTAAATAAAATAAGAATATATACCAAAGTATTACTCATAGTACATAAAGCTAGTATTTGTTCAAAACAAAATCAACACTTTGTTAAGTAAAATACAGTGTGCTCAATGACAATGTAAGCACAATTTTTGCCAGCGAATAAACTAAACGAACCATCACGCAATCGTTTCGGACATGATAAATAAAATATGTATTTGATAGAAAATATCATATACCTGTAATAATTTCTTTCGGACATTAGATAATAGAAAAATATTTGTTGTATATAAAAATTAATAATTTCACTCGAACAAAATCAAGTGCAAAACTTACTATTATTAATTATTTACTAAGTATTTTTTAATCTAATTGACATAAAGATTTTTGTGACACCTTATACTTTAATAAGAGTATATCTTCTGAAACAATACTGAATAATAATTAATCAAAACATGAAGGAAAAAAATATTTGCGAGTTGCATCCAAAGGTTCTTCTTTACTTATAAGTAACTATATGTATTTTTAAAACGATTTTATTGTGATACTATTTTGTAGCTTTCACTCACAGATCTACTTAAGTATTATTATTCTTTTATTATCTTTATTATGTGCGAAAAGATTTCTCTTTCCGGCATAAATAAAACTTAAAAATGAGGTGTATGGACGAACTTAATCTAATTGTGGCCACTCTCGTTATGTATGTAGATGCGCCTAAAACTATATAAACTCAGTATGAAGACACTTTAAATTTGTTACTCATATCAAAGCCTACATTGTTGGTCCAATATGACGAAAACAATGTATTTTGTTTTTTATTTGTTTAAATTGACAGATTTTTAGGCTCCAAGACGAACTGGTATTAATAATAAATCCACCCAACGATGTCCATCCACGTATATTAATTTTTTAGACATAATATCTCCTATATACACCAAAATCACACAAAATTGTATTTAACATCAAAATATATACGAATTGAGTAATCAATAGCAGTAAAGGAGTTATCAACGCAATTAGCTATCGAGTAGTGCAGGATTGTCATTAGTATGGGTCAACTAACGGTTATTGCTCCGTACCAAACGTTCAGTATAACAGTAATGATAGTTTCTCCTATCATTGCAGGTAACTGCCTGGTGATAGCCGCCGTGTTGTGTTCATCCAAACTCCGCAGCGTGACCAATCTGTTCATAGTATCATTGGCAGTCGCTGACTTATTGGTCGGAGTCGCCGTGCTGCCTTTCTCAGCGACACGCGAAGTTTTCAAGGTAAGTTATATAAAAGAAGTTACTTAAAGACTAGACGATATGAAACCAATAAAAAATACAAACAAAACAAAATATAGAACTTAGAAGACATTGTATATTTTGTGATTTTATGTGCATTTTTGTGTTTTATGTATTTTGATTTATAATAATAAACGTATTTAACATTTTCAATAAATAAATATAATTTCTTACATATTAGTATTTTTGGGTTAAATTGTATCAAGTTTTTTGTTTTATTTTTTGACGCTATTAGGCCTATTTAAAAACAAATTAATGTATGTAATAATAACATTCAGCCTAATTTGTCACATATTTAACACAAAATGGTATTGTGTGATTTCAGTCACTACTAAACAAAGCTGTTTTAATATTCGTTATCGATGTTTAAATGAAGTGTGCAAGTTATGAAAATAGATTTTTATGAGGACAATAATCTGCATATATAAAATGTTTCTTCACAATTCATATTAATTAAGAGACAAAATATTAAATTTGATAATCTATATATTAAATAGCCTTGTGTGTTTGATATTCTTGAAAGTCAATTTTTACTATACTTAAGCCGATCCTCCATGTAGAGAAGCGTTAGTTGAAAACAGATCTCCAACATTGGGTTTTTGGCTTCACGTGTCTAACATTTGAACATTTTCAGGAGCATCATTCGTGCAATTAAACACTTTCCTGTCTCACAGTTGCGACCATTATACCGGATAAGTTTCATTCAAAACTCAACTTTATTCCACCGATATTGGTCACATTTCACAAGAATCGAAAAAAACCTTTACCAGATTGGAAAACTCCTCTAAAATTTTTAGCACTGTTTTCACATGCATAATTTTAGATTTAGTGCTAAGCGACGTATGATACTGAGGCAGTGATGAAAATATTCACTTAATAGTGGAAAGTGATTAAAGCAATGACCAATCTTGTTTAGTTTTTTATTACTTATTAGAATTCAAAAAATATATCACTTAAATGATATGAAACCTCTGTTATACCAAGAAAAAGTATAAAAAATATTTGTTCCTCATTTAATTCAATATTTATATATAAGAAAGTCGTATTAGTTACATTATTTATAACTTAAGAACGGCTAAACGGGTTTGACTGAAAATTGGTGGCGAGATAGCGTAGAACAAGGGAAAGGACATAGGATAATTTTTTATTCGAAAAAAATAAGTTGATCAAATCCAAAATCTTCCTAAAGATAGAGTTCGTTCGGTCTGCTATACATTTTTAATTCTGAAACTAAAGCAAACGAAGTCGTAGGCATAAACTAGTTAGTTAAATAAAATAATAGAGTAGAGTCTCTTTTTTTATATTTCATCAAGCTGGATATAAAATGTAATATTTCTCGACACTCGCAGGATTTGAATCTGTGACATCTGTCACACAACATCCCAGTTGCTATCCCAGTTAAGCTAAAATGTCGTTACTCGACTGGTTTTGAAATCATCAAATACTTAGCCTACCAGTTACATATATCAGGCTGAAGGTTCAGCTTATGATTTTTGTTACATCTCAATCCTCACTGAGTATTGGTATAGACTATAGACTCTAGTCTAGTCTAGTTTATTCTATAAAGTATTGGTCTCCCATGTTTCAGAGCCCCGATTCTGTAGTAAATCTAATATTATTGCCCACATATTTATTATACACATTTTTACGCAAGCAATTAGCTGCTCACATTCGTGGAAATTTTATAGCGGGCTGTTCAACAAGACCGCTATAAATATAACGTTGTTTTATCAAACTATATCCATGTAGTATTCAGTTAAAAGCCCAACTCCAGTCATTCATCGGTCTTCGCTCCATTAGCCATCCGTGGCTTCTATTCATGTATTCAAAGGACACAGAGTAAGACTTACAAAGAGATTACACTCGTGCCTTACAAGTTAACGTGATTACATGTAGATTACTTCCTTCTAGTTTAAATTAGGTTTATTATAATGTATGGATAAAATCATTAAATTTACACTTAAATAATCATAGATTAGACATAAGTAGTCAGTATAAAATGTACATGTATATAAGTCTAATATATTTTAGGCGAAAATTCGAATAAGTTCTTAAAGACTTCATTGAAAATTTTAAATCCACGATAAAAGCGTAGGTCTCACATCCTTATTTAGTTTCTTCAACAAGAACAAAGAATCTCGTACAAGTCAGATCTTTATTAATGTTTTCGAAGTACAAACAACAGCAAGCTTAAATTAGTTCTCTGCTGCGCTCTGTTAAATAGATTTTGAGATTTCGCTCTGTTAATAACACGATAAAACTTTTGTGAACTTTTATTTGGTATAAATAGCTCATTATAAGTTTCCTGCATAATTTACATGATGCTTCCGTTTATAAAAAAAAAAAAAATATGGAAGGGATTCAATGAAATAGTTATTTCTAAAATTATTATATGTATTACGTACATTTTTTAAAAGTCTTTATTACTACTTACTATTATTATTATCGTACCTATGTGAGTTTTCCGAATCATGTACATTCTAAGAGAATTTAGTCTCTACTGACAGACGGTGAAGGAAAACATCGTGAAAAACCTGGACTTATAATTTCACAATTTTAAGTTTGAAATCACCAACCCGTCTTGAGCAAGCGTAGTCATTAATGCTCAAATCTTCTCCATGTGAGAAAGAGGCCTTTGCTCAGCAGTGGGCTCTAAAAGACTAAAAAAATATTATTATTTAACATATTTGTCGTTTTCACTTCATAATAATCATTTGATTATTTTCAGTATATATTTAATCAATGTATTATAAATAAATATTCAATCTTTCTTGTAGTAAAAAGCTAAATAGTTGTTTACAGTGCACTAAAATTAATAAAAAAGTCTTAGATATAAATATGAAATAAACTTTTAATATAAATACGTTTATAAAATTGTGGTATTCAATGAAAACTCAGGGTACAATTCCATTTGCAAAATATGTTTTGTTGACAAAATAAATAGAAGAATTTTTTCGAAAATTCAAACCCATTGTTGATAAATACGAATCGTGAAAAAACTAAAAATACAAAAACTCTTTCGTGCTTTGTATATTTATTTACAATTCTTAGCCACAAGTCAAATTTTAAAAACCCATTGTCTAAAGTAATTGATATAATTTTAAACACAAATTCTATATACAAATATGATTAAATTCATAAATTAAACAAATATACATACAATCATCGATAAATCTGATCATATTGTTCATCACGATTCGATTCAAGCCACATTTATCTAGCCATAGGTTCGGAGAAGCCATTATTTTATTACGGCTCTCACAAACAAACGTTATTACATCCAATATAGAAATGTTCATTTGGCCACTAATAAATAACCACACGGGGTAATACTCTTCCCGAGTGTTGGTAATCGACGTCATATGTTATTTTACTTCTATTCATGTTGTGTAATATCCTTTAAATCTATTTTTTATGATACAATAACAGTTGTAATGACAGCCGTAATCTCAGTTTTGATGATAACAAAATTGCTTTAGCCATTATGATTGTTATGTTAAAGAGAAATAAATTTTATCAATATTAGTTATACGACGAATTGAAATTACAAAAAGGGAACTCTTTATATAATATATGTAAGTTTTTTTGGTAAATGATCCTAATTTACATAATTAATGCGTATGCCGACGTTTCATATATGAATTCTGTCTTTTCTTAATTGTTAATTTGTTCTACGTATGAGGACTAATGTGGACTAGATGTTTTATAAAAGTGCTCACAATATTTGATCCGACAAGAGACCACTTAGCTTACTGATTCCATTTAAACTGGAACTATATCCAAATAAATCCTCAGACTTACTGAAACATATCCACATGTATTAGAGAATGCATAAATCTATTTTTAGAAGTACCGATACACTCGTCCACTTTGACTTGGACAATACAAAGGGACGTTAAACGCAGTCACTACATCTAAAATACGTATCGTGTAATAATAGTTTTTAAATTAAAACAATTCTGAACTGATATCTAAGTTAAATTTTAAATTAAACAATATAAAATACAAAATTCTTTAACAGATTTGAACCTGTAACTTGTAGAGTATGTACTCTAGTTGCTTAACCAACTAAGCTCTCGTGACGTGACAAGTCTATAAATTTTTAGTTCCATATCTTCTAATTTTCATTTATATTTGCCAACTGATGAAGGTTACCTTAAACGTTATATGGAATATCTCCTGTATTTCATGGCAGTTTGCTGAAAGCGGCCCACCCTAACAATATTCATTATTATTATTACTCTAATTGAATTTAATCTGAGCACCATCTGTCGTTACCGTCCGAGCTCCTACTATTGGATTTCATCTTATCTAGAAGTCTAGTTTATAAATATATGAAATAAAATTTTAAGACATCTCACACAGACAATAACAAATTTTAAGTAGCAAAAATGCTCTGATTTCTATTGATAGCCTCAATTAAAGTGAGCCTATATAATAATATATATCCCTATTAATTAATTATAATATTATAAATGCGAAAGTAACTTTGTCTGTCTGTCTGTTACGCTTTCATGCCTAAACTACTGAACTGATTTTAATGAAATTTGGTACAGAGATAGAGTTGACTTTGAGAAAGAACATAGGATAGTTTTTATCCCAGACTTTTGAAAGGTTCTCTGGGAAACGCGATATAACCGAACTCCACGCGGGCGAAGCTGTAGGCGGAAAGCTAGTGTATGATATTTTGTGAATACAGTTAGACAAGTAACATACTCGTACATCAAACATATATAAGTGAATTACAAATGATTTCGAGTGTCGAAGTCAAATAGTAGCGGTGTTCCTGATTGAACGTTTGCTCTAGCTTCATATATTTGACATACTCTTACATAACTTTGTTACAAGTTTTTGCTTGAATTGTTTATGTCAGATGAACAGACATTAGGTATGAATTTCGACAACTTTATATATATGTTGATTAAAATTAAATTTCAACATTCATCTAGATAACTTTTGATTAAAGTGAGGTCTAAAGTGTGAAGATGATTTTGACTAATTATAAAGCTAAATAATATTTATATAAATATAACTTTTTTCATATTTAAGTTCTCTGAATAATTTATTTAAGCATAAAAGATTTGGTTTAATAAGTAAGTTGATTAAACAACAGATTCTCGCAGTATTTTTTTATATATTAAGAACAATATAACAACATAACGTCTTTTACAACATAATTTCTGAAGTTCCCGACTTGTCACGGCTTTTCAAGCGTATATTTTCATTCATACTTAATGTTTCGATTCCGCAATAATCATATAAAAACACATTACTCTCGTTTATCATGACCAAAACAAGATGTGAATCTCTCATAATACATTTGTTTGTATAACCACATAGGATTATAAATTATAAAAGATGAACATACTTTCACTCATGTACAAATACATATAGCACGTCCAACGAAACAAGATAAATATTGTCAACACAGCTTTTTCTCCTGAGTTATTAAGGTGCATAGAAGAGCAACAAGAGGTTAAAGGCCAGCCTCTCATGTATGAGGGTGTGGGTTCGAAATCTGGCTAGTACCAAACCTTCTCGATGTGAGAAGAGGTCTTTGCTCTACAGTGGGCTCTGATAGGCTGATGATGATAGGAGAGCAACGTAACTGATATTTGTAATCTAATGTTTATCAAAAAATAATACCACCCAACAGGTATGGATCTTTGGAGACGTGTGGTGCTCTGTGTGGCTCGCAGTAGACGTGTGGATGTGTACAGCTTCCATATTAAATCTCTGCGCTATATCACTGGATCGCTACGTGGCGGTCACCAGGCCGGTCAGCTATCCTAGCATCATGAGCAGGAAACGGGCGAAGGCACTCATCGCTGGCCTCTGGGTTCTCTCATTCGTGATTTGTTTCCCTCCACTAGTCGGATGGAAAGACAAACAGGTGAGTGAGAACTGAAAGAAGAATAATGAACATTATTAGTGTTGCTCGATGTATCAAAGTATGTATTACTAGTAGGGCCATCTCTGTTAGTAACAATTGTTATTAATCTACCTCCACCTAAAATAATAAATCAGTCTGTTCGCAATATTTACTTGTTTCATTAGAGGTTAGAGGCTTATCCCGAAATTATCAGTTATTTTGTTAAAAATAGATAATTAGTGAAAGTTTTATTGCGTAAATATGACTACGAACTACATATATTGCAAGTGTTCCAAAACTAGAATCATTAGAATGAGATCTAAGGTTTTCGCAAGTATTCATTTATATAAAACTCATATTTTTGGATTACTACGCGTATTTTATTATTCTTAAAAAACTACATACATCCTATAGTTTATTATAAACTTTCGGATGTGGTGACATCTCGTCTTTGTGATCGCGGTTGCTGCAAAGTAACCAAAACATGGAGAGTATGTAGTTTTTTACAATAATAAAATCCGAGCAATATAATCCAAAAAATTACTTTCATTTATATAATGAACATTGATGAGAATTGCGTATACATAGTTACCCTTGATCAGTTATTAAAAAGACTTGGGAAAGTTATAATATAGGAAACTGCTTCAGCAAATTAATGAATGGTAAACCAGTTTATTTGACCTCTCTCTGTTTCACAGTCTGGGGAGTCAGAGCACAAAGAAGGCTGGACAGCAAATCCCCCATGTCCTTGGACATGTGAGCTCACCAACGACGCTGGTTACGTCGTGTATTCAGCTCTGGGTTCCTTCTACATACCGATGTTTGTGATGCTATTCTTCTATTGGAGAATTTACAAAGCAGCCGTCAGAACCACGAAAGCTATCAACCAGGGTTTCCGCACTACCAAAGGCAGTAAGTGAAAAGAACATATACTTTTATATTATTTTTAAAGTAATATATACGTAGGAGCGTCAGGTGGATACCTCATGGTGGTCTTGGCTTTTCATATCGATCATGGAAGTGTTAACGAATTGCAATCATAAATAATAGCACGCTTGTACTATCCAATCTGTAATTACTTGATTTCTTTACAATTGTATTTAAAATCACATTCAAATAATAAGATGAAAATAGATTATGAGCCACTAGGTTACGCTAGTGCATTTTGTTTGACGGCTGTTCATATCATAAAAGACATTCAGTGACAATCACCACCCTACTCAGCACTGGCCGCGCATAATTTTATAGAACAAATAAAATGAGTTCCCTAAGAAGTTTATTATTAAACTAATCCATAATCGAGGCACCGTCATATATATTATGAAGCTTTATTCTAAATTTCTTAATTCCATAACGCTATTTCTTCTAAAATATTTTTATATGAATACAAAGTTCTCCGTCGGACGGTCATTTAATCAATTTTTGCATAAACCGACCTTCTGGAGAAATGAGGCTCTCTCGATAGTAAAATGCTTGTCCAATGAATATTATATTCTATTTAATCCGTTTCTCATACAAAAGCATAGGACCAGCGGATATTGTGTTATTCAAATACGAAAACTTATGTCTCTCTATAATCATTTAATAAGTGAAGGAAAAATAACGATAATTACTAAATTAAAAATAATTTAAAACTAAAAAACACACTAATAGAAAAGTAAATTTAAGAGTCACTTTTAAATAAACTTTCATAAACACTAGTGTCATTAACAAAAAGTATATTATAGAATACAAAACTTTGGGTACTTTTTAAAGTAATTTCCATTATGATTATACTTTTACGAATCATTGTCATTAAAATAATAACACAGTGGATGTGAAGCACAATAAACTTTTATACTTATTACTTTGGTTTTCGAAAACATTATGTTGTTTTTTTTTACTCTTGATTTTTTATAGTGATTACTGGCAAAGTGTTTTTATTTTCTAATAGTTCGTAATAAAGTTTTCTAAAACATTTCTATAAGTATAAACATATCAATAAACGCGTGTTACTGAGACTGTTTAGTTTTCAAAAACTACAAAGATCCAATGCTACTCTTATACCATATTTGAACAAATTTAATACGGAAGATTACAAAAAAATTGTTAGCAATAATTTGCACCCAGAAAAAGAACATAAAAACATTGGTGAAAATACTTCTTGATGTATTTATTCTTTTTCCAGGTAGAGGTCTTGGTAGCAGATTCGACGACAATCGTCTCACTCTTCGTATACATAGGGGTAGAGGTTCAGCTCGGCCACACGGTTCACCTCTTTCTACTGCTTCTAATCATTCCACAAGCACATCACTAAGCGCGTCACCAGAGAGATTGAGAAGGTATAACTTAGTAATTGGTACTAGTGGAATTACTTTGATGGCTTATATCCATTTGAAATTTTCCATACAGGTTAAAACTTTAGATGTTACATAAAAATATATTTGCAGACATTCCAGCGCAAGACGAGCCCACGAGAAGATCAAGATTTCAGTCTCATATCCTTCATCAGAACAAATCTGTCCAGCTCATGAGAATTCCAGGTCTCCAAGTAGGTCGCCGAGTCCATCATTGTATGCGGTGCATTATGAAAGGGATGGAAGGGAGCTCACTGAAAGCAGGTTAAGAGTTAGACCTTCACATCACCTGTCACCTGGACCGCTGTACGATGATTATGATGATAAACCAAGAACGAGAAGGATGGGGAAACGTAATATCAAAGCACAGGTAAATTATATGACATACTGAGTATCACATAAAATTACTAAAATATAAATATGCAATACAGATAAATATAAATATTATCTCATTTTTCTCAAATTGAAACAAGTAAAGGAAATAAGTGATTTTTGTATATAATTTAACACAAATTACTTTCCGTTAAAAACATTCAAATTCAAATATATATTTTATGAACGTGAGTTCATTTGTATTCCTCCAATAATTGTAATTTATCATGCAGGCACAAAAAAAAACTGTTTATCTCATACAGTCAATAAATTTCTAACAGTCAAGAATTACTTTTATTATTAATAAAACAAACAATTTTGGTAGGTATAACATTTATTTGCATCAAAAATTTCAATTTTAAGTATTATCATTTCACAGTGAAGAAAGCATATATCTTACTTTCGCAAATTCACTACTTCGCTAACAGTCTATAAATCCATCTAGAAGACTACATTAATAAATGTTCATATTCATTTAAAGGTCAAACGTTTCCGTATGGAGACCAAAGCAGCCAAGACTCTAGGCATCATAGTTGGAGGGTTCATCTTCTGCTGGTTACCTTTCTTCAGCGTGTACGTGGTCCGAGCCTTCTGTGGTGACTGTGTCACGCCGATCGTCTTCTCTGTACTCTTCTGGCTCGGTTACTGCAACTCTGCCATAAACCCTCTCATTTACGCGTTATTCTCTAAAGACTTCAGGTAAGTCATTAACTAATTTTTACTATTTTGATACTTAAAGTTATGATTATTAAAGTTAAAAGTCGTATATACATTGTTTCTGTTTCAAGTCTATTTCAATATTTCTTTTATATATACCAGATTCGCGTTCAAACGTATAATCTGCGCGTGTTTCTGCGCGGGCGGCGGTGGCCGGCGTGAGTCGGGCGCTGATGACGTCACACGCCGCGCTCGTAACAACACACACGCACACACACACTCACACTCACACTCACTCGACGAGGAGATACACCCCAGCGCTACGGAGAGGTATAAAATAATAATTACACTACAATATACATGTAAATATATAAGTATATGAACTTTATTAATAACAGAATCTTTGTTTGAATGTTTTAAACCACAAATATTTAAAGTACTATTTAGTATGAATAAAAAGGAAGAGAATGTTTACGATTCTTTAGTTAACAATACTACTAAATCTTTAAGTTATGTTACATTTAACATATATTATTGTTGTTTTGTAATGAACTTTTGTGAATGAAGAATGATCATTGTCTTTTATCGTCATTGATATTACTAAAGTCAAAGTAATTCAGTAATATGTCTATCACAGAAAAGGTTATGTAATCAATATAGAAATTAATCAAATTTTCAGGTGACGTCAAGCCCTGCGACGGCAAAACGCGCAAATCCAGACGTCCGTCGCTTGTGTATGAAGTTTGACAGAACCCTAGTACGAGTTCACATTCTCCACGTTTATACCGACAGTTACAAAGTAAATCATTCAACTCTGATCGTCACGATCCAGTACTTAGAGTAATGTATTGAACACAAAAAAATGTATATACCATATGTATATAAAATGTAAATAATTATTTATTGTAAGAAATGTTTTTAAATTAAATTGTAATCATTATTTATTCATCAAGTCTCTGTTTTATAAGTGTCTGTTAGTCATTTTAATTAAAGGCTGTGCTAATTGTATAGAAACTATAAAAAATGTTATTTTTATCCAAAAAATCGTAATCTATTTCTAGTCATTAATATATAATTTTAATCACTTACATATAAATATAATTTATGTGAAAGCCTGATTATAATATTCTTAAAATTTAAAAATATATTGTATAATCTAAAATCCGGGCCTACCTCAATATTACCAAATGTATAATATTGCTACTTAAATACGTACCTCAAAGAATATTACTGCTGTCGCTATTTTTTCTCATTGTATAATGTTAGTAAGCCCTATTCCTTATTCCTAGTTTTCATTTGCATACTTCAGACGAAACGTTTCCCGTTTTTCATTCAATAAATTACTTTAATACAAGAATGTAACGTGATTTATGATTGAAAAACTGCGAACTTTACGTTTCCTTTAGTGTGACGATGCAAACTAGGACTAAAGTGTCGTCACTAGTATTTAACATAGACGTACTAAAACACAGTTTTATTCGACAGAATTTTTAAGTTATTAATAAACAAAATGAAGCACAAATAAATGAAACTAATATTATTCTAAAACGATACATTCACTTCTCGTCTGTCTGTAATAACGGTTGCTGAAAAGTAACCGAAACGTCGGGAGTATGTGGTTTTAAATTAATAAAATTCGAGTTGTATTGCTAATAATATTAGTTTCATTTAAATGAATGCTCGCGAAAGTAAATTATGAAGCACAAATAATTTTAGATTCTCAGCTATACAGGATGACTGGTGAATTACTATCGATACTTGAGGACGTGATATTTGACGATCATATATGACAAAATAAAAATTAATATAACATAAATATTAATAAACTTCTAAGTAAAGTTAACCAAAAGTTATGTAATTAATTACGCATCGTGTCAACACCCTACAGATTAGGTATGTGTACACACACACAAACGCGTGCGGCGGCGTAGTGTTGTATCAGCACGCCGCCGCACGCGTCCACACTTGGAACACTTGGAACGTGTCCACACTTTATTTATTTATACGGAAATTTGGTCAAAAATTAAGTACCTATTTTTTTTACATAATTCGAATGAGAATCATGTACCGAGTATGCTCCTTAAATATTGATAGTAATTCACCAGTCACCCTGTATAATTATTCTTGTTTTTTTTAATAAGTTTAGTAACATCACTTATTGCCCCTTTATATATTGGTTTTGTAATGAATTGTAAAAATCAAATGTTCTAGGAACTTTGTTTTGGCTATATTTGCGATTAAAGGAAAGACATAGTTATACCTACTATTGTTTTCAATGTCATATTTCTATAGAAAACCACTAATTTCTTAAAACTTTAACTTAAGTAGATCAAAAATTTTCGCCATAAAAGTCTCATCGAAATTACTGGTTTTTATTCCATTTAAAATGTAGTTATTGTAAGTACAAAAAATTAATAAATGTTAAAATATATAAAAAATATGTCGATAAAGAAAAATCTAATAAAAAATTAACATATTCTATTTATATAAAGATAATATGACTGAATTATTAATGTAAAGGATAGATACTCAAGAATTGCTTATAATATATAATGTTATATACATATATAGTATATAAGTGTATGTTTAGTATTAATTGTGAAAGATCTCAACGTTCCTCTAACTGTCTGTTGGCGTGTTCGATGTCAATATATTTGTTATAAATTATAATATGTGTGAAAATATAAATATGTAAAAATATATGAAATTGGTATTGTCGAATTCTTATTATTACCTAATCATTGATTTTAAAAACTTACCTCTTGCAGTAGCAGACGTGCACTTACTGCACCCATGAAACAAACTAAAATAATTTTTTATGTTCTTACTATAATACTTTAATCAAAACTTTACTAAATACGTGTTTACAGAAATTTAAAATTACATTTAATTCATGATGGGCTAAAATTATTAAAAGTGCCATCTATCAGAAGCACAAAGAAACATTAAGGTTTCGTCTCTACTAGTGCTGCCATCTAGCCAAAGTAAACTTAAGCGGTACTAGTCGCTAATTACTCTCCTTAAACAATTATAATTAACGGTAAAATTTATATTCATTAGGCATTTGAATCAAGTACTTTATATGCATTTATATTTTACCGTTTTAATATCTGTTAGGTGTTATCCAATCGCTAGTCGGCAGAAATACGAGTGACAATTTGCAATGTCAAAACGTCAAAACACAAACGTCATGAACCTATAGTCAAAACTCAGACTTAGCATTTAACTACGTAAATAATAGTTTCAGTACGTCAGCCGCGGTCGTGGCAAATATCCGTGTTGATAGTGTCTAGTATAGATTATTTAGTTCGTTTTTATCATAGTGATAACCGCCCACGGTTTCCTTGTAACAAACAAATTGCATTATGGACAGAACTATGTACTTTGGCGGCGTGGAAGGGTGAGTTGCGATGTTTTGTTATGTTCTGACAATATGCTATTTTTGAAAGTAGAAAGGCCTACCTTGAAATCATTGTTGTGAAACGTTCATTTGATCGAAAATTGTTATGTAGTTGAAGTTGAATTATATATCCTATTAATTATAATGTGAAAGTTTGCGTGTGTATGATCTAGGCCTCAACTTGCACACATTACTGTATAGAAAATAAATTACTTTTTATTAACATAATAGCTCTTGATATTCTAATGTATAATACTTATATGTAGCTATTGTTGAAAAGAATATCGTAACTCTGATCACATTACTGTTCTAATAATTATGACGGATAGCAAATAAACTTTACTTTTACATTTAAAATATTTAGAAAATATGAGAAAACAGAATTAAGAAAAAAATATTTTGGAAAAGTTTAGTTTTATGTTATTAATTACTGGAAAGTATGAAAAACTACTCACGGCAGAGTATTTATAAAGAAAGTGCAATGTGTATTTTATTAACGGATGGTTTCCAATCACGAATCTAATAATCACGATCATGATCAATAAAAAATATCTCGACTACTTATAATTGGATAATTACAATAACACACGTAAGTGGAAAATATTTTATTACTACAAAATTTCATGAGTATTCTTATTTGGGAAAGGCGTAATGTGTTTTATTGAAAAACAATTCAGTACATAATAACGGTATTTAAAAGTTTAAGTCATGGTATTTGTCACGTACTTGACTTGACAAGTAAAATATATAAGCATTACAGATTACAATTTAAGCAATACTAGTACATGATTTAATGTTTAAAAAAATAGTATATATTTTTTGTCTAACTTCGATAGATTCAAAAAAATAATAACAATCTCTCTATGTTTGAAAGATATACAAGATTTTTGTTGCGTTGTCGAACTTGTTAAAGACTTTTTTATAATTCCTAGCTATTCTCAGATATTAACGAAACAGTAGAAAATTTGTAGAAAGAAAAACATTTGATCAAAATTCTGCCTTCATCGAATTTATACACTATATATTGTTAACTAGTTGCGTTAAATGATATTAAATCTTATTACTATAGAAATAAGTTTTTTTTTAGGTAAACGTAACAAACACGCCTGGAATGCCTATTTGTTGACAACCTTGACTTTTTTACAATACTATTCACAAACACATCGTAGTGAGAGTGTTTCTGAATTTAATTACATATATATTATAAATATTTTTAACTCAATGTCTTTAAAATAAACTGTCGTAAATTTAAATCATACAAGTGTCAGAGGCAATCCATTTGAATTAGAATTGTCATGTTCCAATCAGTTTTTATTGACTGAAGTGGTTTAAAAATCCAAGGTCTAAAAACTAATTTAAACTATGTTTTGTATACACGTAACATAGAAGAAAAATACTAAGTGAAAATAATACTAAAACATGACGAAAGTCTAATTTGTTATAATAAAGTAAATATTATTTAATTTTAGCCTTGACTGGATCCGAGTAGAATATTAAGATGACATTTAGATGAAGACTCTTGATGTTATTGTAAATATTTAAAACTTTTGTTTTGTCAGATAACATTCATAAGTCGTGACAATAAACAAAATATTATTTGTACTTACTTAGTGTGATTTGTAATAGAATAATTGTTAGATTATTACGTAGTTACTGAACTAATTGCGATAAAGTTTTAGTTTTTACTTCAAGTTAGCATCGTCATAATTACGGAGCGATCGCAGTTTTAAGTTCGTAAATCTTGACATTTTAGTATAAACGTATCCCTTAGAACAAGAAACGGAAAATGAGTGGTATGTATGTAGTTTGAAACTCGGACTATGTACACAGCTCCAATCTATGTACATAAGATCGGATATTTTTTCACTTAACTTAGGGGATTTTTAAACCTATACTTGGGTCGCAAGTCCCAGGCACTGTTGAAGCTCCTTTCCCTGCAATGATAGAAGTATAGAACTTGTACCCGCACGGTGAAACGGTAAAATAATGAAAGGTTTTGTCTATTAAGATAAAATAAATGTTAAACCAATATAAAAATCATAATATCGTATGTATGTAGGTATCGTATTTACTTCGTATGGTTGTTGGGTAAAGTTTTTGATATCGTTATCAAATTGATATTTCATATATAATTATATATTTTTAATTTAAATGAATACTCGCACAAGTCTTAGATCTCATTATATTTTTATATTTTTGCATTGTTTTGAAACACGTTGCTTCCACATAAAAAGCTATTAAAATATTTTCACATACGAAAACACAGTAATAATTATTTCTTATCTCTGACCATTAAACATAAATAATAGAATAGTTATGGTCTACAAGTCGTGTGAGGTGATTTAAAGGTACTATTAACAGTTTATCATTCATAAATCTTATTCTAATACACTGTATAATTATGTTATTGAATGAGAAACGTGAAAGTAATGCAGACTTGTGGTAAACATATAGATTCGACTGAATTTTATAAATTTCCACAAAAAATCGAATAAAAAAACCATTTCATGTTGTTTTGGGATGTGTCCATGTTAATTTTAATTCTATTTTCTGCTTACCCAATTCCGAAAACTCCTCATATTCCTATACTCTCAAGCCATTAACTAAAAGGTAATATTTTACTAGAAGAAATATATTTTCTACTAACATTCTCATTTCTTGTTCAGTATACATAATACAATTATTTTATAGATCAAAGTACTCAGTTGAAAGTACCGTTAAAAAACATTGCTCCTAAGTAACCAAATCTCAGTTTTTTGTTCGTACGTTCCATCTTACAAACGTAACGGTATCATTAAATTTTATTAGCTAATTTCTATGACTAAAAAGGATTGTAAATAAATACATAAAATCCTCAAGTTATACAATTATGTCCAGTGTCCTTAATACAAGAATGGATGGATAGATGTCAAGCTAAATGCAGAGTACCAAGGTCTAACAAGACTTAGACCAGAGGAAGCCATATTATTGAAAATAACTTAGAATCTACTAATCCCTACTAATATTATAAATGCGAAAGTAACTCTGTCTGTCTGTCTGTTACGCTTTCACGCCTTAACCACTGAACTGATTTTAATGAAATTTGGTACAGATATAGAGTTGATCTTGAGAAAGAACATAGCATAGTTTTCATCCCAGACTTTTGAAAGGTTTTCTTGGAAACGCGATATAACCGAACTCCACGCGGGCGAAGCTGCGTGCGGAAAGCTAGTACATTAAAATTAGGTTTTTGGACTTTTGATATTAAGCTAATGTTGAAGTAATCCTACTTGTAACGAGGAATTTTTCATACGAATACACTATGATGATCTTGATGATATATACTGATGATGATGATGAAAATATTTTCATCATCACATCCCCAGTCCAGAAGGTGTATGACCCAGCGACTCAGTAAACGTGGAGGGTGTGTGTGGGTGTGTCTTGAGGTCAATACAACTGGTTGCATTCCACTACTTGAATTACAATCACTTGTTGAAGTCGAGCGTAATTCAAGACTATACAAGACTATTCAATGCTGTGAATGTTTACGTGATTTGCATATGTCTATTTATATTTTGAGTGAGTCAGTCAGTATGTTTGAGTTCTTTTTGTATGTGGCATATAACATGGTCTTTTTATATAGTTGGTATTTCTTATTTACAACTTTCTAGTATTATAAATGAAACTAATATTTTTGGGACATACTGCGCGTGCTTTATTTTTGTTAACTACATATATCTCGTCTGTCCGTGATCACGGTTGCTGAAAAGTAGCAGAAACTTCGGGAGTATGTTGTTTTTTAGAAATATAAAAAAAAAAAAAAAAGTATTATTAAATTATTAGTTTCATTTAAATGAATAAAACTCGTGAAAGTCTTAGATCTCATAACTTTCTAATCGGTATATATGTACCTAACTTATTTACCTGAATAATAATTTAAAGTATTTCCTTTGATATGTTGTCTCATAAGGAAATACAAATTACATCAAAATGACGGTCAAGTTTATGTTCGTTATCTTTTGATAAAAATTTTAAATAGTCTTCTTTATCAACACATTTGCATTTTAAAAACGAAATAATTTTTAGAGTTAGGTATTTTTTTATGAAATCCATAAATTATTGTTAAGGTGCAGATATAGACAATTATATTGAAATCTGTTACTAAAGGCCAATAAACCAATAACAGTCATAGTCATAATATAAGTGTTTTAAACATATTGGTACAGGGATTACCCATAGTACATTTAAGACTATCTGTTAGATAAAAAAATTCTTTTTTATGTCCAATACATTCCATGATGTGTCTTTAATTTGATAATTACACTTTAAAATCTTACATAAAAGTATATTGTACAGCAAAACCAAAGTAATTCTATAATTTATTTTAAATCATTTTTAGTACGAGTAGTGCTCGAAATAAAATATACATTCTCTTTATATACGACATTTATAACATCTAAATCTCTCTGTAAGCTACTAAAAGACTTAGGCCTGTCCAGAACTAATATCAATACATTCTTTGAAAGTAGCTCGAGCAGGTTCTTTTCGGTTAAGTAGGGAAAGGAGCTTGGACGGTGGAGGTGAGTTTTTAACGCGTTAGATAGGAGCCCCTTAAACCTACACCTGGGTCACAAGTCCCAGGCACTGTTGAAGCTCCTCTCCTTGTAACGATGGACCCGGCACCCGCACAGTAAATACATTGAATGATGAAAGTTATTCGTTTTATAACATGATAACCAATAATACTTTATCTATTTTTTATACTGTGTACATACCTTTAACACAAGTTTGCATTTCAAATACTAGAAAGTGTTTAGTTTATGGTGCAAACTTGTGGTATATGCAAATGACTTCATAAACAGGGTGTAATATGTAACCAGTTATGTTTATTATCAGTGAAGATAATATTCTTATTGATTATTATGTTTGCCGACAAGAGTGCGTATATTTTATAACCTTTATCAGGATACGATTGCATTTTTATCAGCTGTTATCAATATTATATACTAGATTAAATTCGCGGCTTCGCTTAAATTTATTTGTTGTAACAAATCTGAATCTATATTAATTTTTTTACCCTCTTTTTTTGTGCAAAGTTTTTAATGAAATTCAAATTAATTTTGTAATAATACGTAGCTTATACCCAACTAGATTTTTCGATTGAAATTAGGTCATTAGTTCCAGAGACTAAGACTTTCAAACAAACAAAGTCTCGAGCTTTATACTATATGTATCTTTTATCGTATAAGATATGATAAAAGATAAGTTACGTATGAGTCATCATAAGATATGATAAAAGATAACGTTACGTATGAGTCGCATTGTTTTCAGAAAATTATACACGCTATTGTGCGTGTTGCAAGTTCATTGCAAGAAACTACATTAATCCTATATTGTTAACGCATTGTTTTCCTTGAATATTATACAAGCTATTGCTGCAATTTCGCCTTCCACGGCGATACTTTGGTTTAATAATAACATCATTACAGTATTTAATATAAAAGTAGACAAATTTATAAATTAATTAGGTAAATAACGAAACTATTTTTTTCAATTAAAAAAGAGTGATACAAATAAAGAAAATATTCTGTATACTAATTTTTAGTAAATATTCTGCAACAAATTTTTAGTAATAGTCTTATAATTTATAAGGAAAATATTAAATTCATTTATAACAAGCACAAGTTATATATCTTTATATATAGAAGAAATTCGTATTAGTTACACTATTTATAACTCAAGAACGGCTGTAGGGGTATGGTTGAAAATTGGTGACGAGATAGCTTAGAACAAGGGAAAAGACGTAGAATACTTTTCACGCGATCGGAAAAAAAATTGCTATAATTGAAAATCTTCTTATTTACTGCCTTTAAGGAGGAATTGTGTTCGCCCGGTCAGCTATATATTTTTAATTTTGAAAGTAAAGCAGACGAAGTCACAGCCAAAAGCTAGTAAGTTATACGTCAGCGAAACAAGAGTAGTTATTTCATCTTTGTACATGCTTATAACAGTATCTTCTATTTAAGCATTTCTCTCGTCCTGTCATTATTAGTTTAATACATCAACAATGGGTGCTATCATTCAAGGCTCTGTATATATTTTATTGTTCAATACAAAACAATTGTTTTCGCATTACTAAATTTTATCCTTATTTCATCTTAAGAAACCACGATGACACTAAGACTTTAAGCTGACAATATTGCTGTCTAAATACTCATAGAAAGCTATCACTTACATTTAGTGTTATATATTTTAATACTAAGTTTTGTTTGTGACTTTATCCGCGTGGACTTCGGAATTAGGCTGAGATAAATGTGTAGTGTGTTTAAACAATAAAATAATTAATCAGAGGGCAGCAACATCTACTGTGTGTTGTCGTGGCACATAAAACAACTAACTACCTATTATGCATTGATCCGACGATAATTACGAAAGATTTCATGAAAAATTATAGTCTATGTCTTATTCTGATTTTTACATTTTCGAAAATTTTAAACAAAATCTTTTTGATTGTTTTTCCGTGCAAAAGCAACAAACATACATACAAACTCGCATACATCATATTTGTTAAAAGTTGGGTTATTTTTTTCTTACAAATGAAGGAGTTTTACTTTACTTAAAAAAGTTAACATATTAATGTTTTATAATTTCAGTGGTGCGACACATTCAAACTTGGTGATATGTGACCAGACGGGTAAGGTGGTCGGCAGGTCTAAAGGGCCCGGGACGAACCACTGGTCGTTAGGTATAGAGGAATGTGCGCGGAGAGTGATAGAGATGCTGCATGCTGCGAAGATAGACGCGGGGATGGCGTTAGATGAACCGTTGGACTCATTTGTGAGTTATCACTAACAGCAAATATTCAAGAGTGTACATTTTTGCTTCTTCAAGAGTGTACATTTTTGCTTTTTCAACATTGTACATTTTTGCTTTCAAGATTGTACATTTTTGCTTTTTCTAGATTGTACATTTTTGCTTTTTCAACATTGTACATTTTTGCTTCATCTTAAAATTATCGGTACTTAACTGCCTTGCTTTAGCCACTAATAATCGTACTTTAGTATTTTATTTTTTATGTGATATAAATCCGATTAATTGCCTATTAAATTTCTCTCTTGTATTACGTTTTCTTGTTATAATTTCGTCATTATGCTTCTATAACTGTACTATTGATAGCAAACCAGTGATTATTTTCTTTGCCAGGGTCTGACTTTATCTGGCTGCGAGCAAGAGAGTAGCAACACGGTGCTGGCGGCACGATTAAAGGAGAAAGATAAATCTTGCTCCAGAGAAGTGTTCGTTGCTTCTGATACAGCCGGGTCTTTATTTACGGGAGCACCTAGTGGCGGAATGGTCCTTATAGCTGGTAAGAAATCATATACATACATAATAACATATTAAATACACCATGGTTTTTATTATAGTCCGTGGTTTTTTTAATATGTGTTTGCTTTAAGTACAAATAATAATTGTTATAAGTATTTATTATACATTTATCATGTACAACACAATATATATAGTTTGCAAGATATTTAACACTTACATATATATATGGAAATATGGAAAAATATTATCTAAAAGATTATTCGTTAGTAACACATGGTCTAATAACAGTCATTTAGTATAAAATATCTCCTATATATCGTATAATGTATAGTAAATTTTGGTTTAGTTTCAAAAACAGGAAGAGAGTAATTGTTTTGTGTATGGGGGCGATCGTGTCCCCGTCGTATTGAGTTCATCTGATAACCTCTGATAACCTTGCACTTGAAGGTCGATGTAACTAGGGCGCCCTTCATTGATTAAATTGAGAGCTTGTTTATTAAATAAAAGTTCATTACGCACTAGCTGGAACACGCGACTCCGGCCGATAATAACTTTATATTAAATTAACATATATTTATGTACCTACTATCTGCGCCCCGCGGTGTTACCCACGGATTATCAGGTCGAAGGTCAGCCTATGTGCTATTCCTGGACGTCAGCTTCCTGTATACAAAATTTTATCAAAATCGGTTCAGCCGTCTGAGCGTGAAGAATTAACAAACATACACACACTCACAAACTTTCGCAATTATAAATTTAGTAGGATATACTGGTAAAATTTCTAAGAGATAAAACTTGTAAAATGTAATGTGCCATAGCTATATTTACTCACTATTGCATTCTCGTAGATATTTTAATATGCATATATTTCTACAAATTTATAGAGTAGACATAATTTATTTTCATCAAAGCGATTTTATAACAGAACTAACATAATTTGTTGGTATTTTTTCATTGATATTTTCCTTTAAGCTAGCCAAGGTCCATCACCACATTGTATTACAAGTATTAAATAAAATACTAGGAACTGATTAACATCTCGAATTAATTTTTCTTTTCATTCCTCGCCTTAAATCTTATTTTTTTAACAATATTCACTAAAAATAATCATAACTAAATGTTTCTTCTAACCAGCAAAATTTTTAGTTTGTTCTCGAAATATATTTTACAATATTATTTACCAATCAATTCCTTCCTATAAATTACGTATGTATTCAGGAATTAATTTCTTAATAAAAAATCTCTATAATAATATATTGTTTATGCAAAAAAATCACCTTAAATTACCTCTTTATATCACATTGTTATTCTTCTTCATCATCAGCCTATCAGAGCCCACTGCTGAGTAAGGCCTCTCTATTCTCACATTGTTATTATTTTAGCATTATTATTTTATGTTAAGGCTTCATTCGCGCTGAAATCCTGGAATATTTTGATGATATCAACATTTTCATTTATTAGATGAATTGTATTCGTGATTACTGAACAAATATTTTGTAAATAACATCTACAAAGCATCCAGAACAAAATTCTCATTGATAACCGAATATTTGATTCATTAAAACTATTAATTTAATTTTATTATATTTTCCGGTTTTTAATTCTAATGTCATTGACTATCAAATACGGTGTCGACCTCAAGCTATGAATCAATTATTTAATATTATATTAGCGTTTATTTAAATAATATTATGTATATACACATATAAATATCTTGACATTAGTGGATATAGAGAATTAGACTTAGGAAATCAGTTGATTATGAAATAAATAATTAATTTATGTACATATGTTTAAAAATATGGTAATTATTGGCAGCGCCATCTAGCGTCTGTGTTCTGAAGTTCGTAGAAAATACAAATGTTCAAATACAAAAAAGATCTTGAAAATGTATAAATTAATATGATTCTGATTTATAATCCATATAAAATGTAAAGTATCATGAAAAACTATTCAGTACTTTATGTGTGAAAATGTATAAAGTTTGAAAATGTCCTCTGTGAATTTCTATTTTAATTTTTTTATTACGAAAAGTAAAATTAATGGCAAAAGTAAAATTAAGTGCTTGTTAAAATTTATAATATATATATTGATCACATTTTATATTTACATGCCTAATTTATAAATTATTTAAATGTATTAAGAGTAGAGAAGGTCGTTAGTTAGGTTTATGTTTTGGATAAAATAGAATATAAAGTATAAAAAAAATTAAAGATCCAAAGCATAATTATACGATAGTAATATTAGGTACATTGTCTATAACATTTAATCCAAATCTCCTTTCACTAGCAAAATTATTAACCAACTACTTAATACAAGTTTAGTCGCTTATTGAATTATGTCTCGCCAGTTGTTAAACTTAAACTGTTTTATAATGATTTATACCATGAAATCGTTTGAACCATTTTGCACTATTTGTATATTTTTTAATGTGGTGATATTTTAAGTTTATAAAGTTGTAAGTTTAAATATGACAAAAGTAATTATATGTAATTGGTATTTAATTGTTTTATTAACCAAACCTACTTTTTAGACCAGTTATACTTTTAGGTCGCACTGTTTCTCCGAACTTATCGAATTCAAAAACTTCATTACCTTAATCAATTAAGAAATATAAAAAGTAAAAGATATGTTTCGTCAAGGGAAACGAGAAATCTTTCTTCTCACTTACAGTAAACATCCCTAGAAGCCTATTATTTATGTTATTACTTATTTTCTTGTAGGTACTGGATCGAATGGATTATTACGAACACCTGAAGGACAGCAGTACGGCTGCGGTGGCTGGGGACACTTCCTCGGAGACGAGGGCAGCGGTATGTTACATGTACATTATCATGAGAATACTGTTTCTTGCAAATTTAATTGTAGTTCATGATGTAAACCAATAGATGGCACCACCACTAAATGGAATGTATATTTCGAAATCTGTCATATTCATTAAAATTGATACAAAAATAAAAGGAGCCTTTGTTTCATAGCAATGATATATATTAACCAACTTGTGAATAAATTCTGAATATTTACTTAATAAAAGAAATAAATTATATATTGAATTAAAGATTCAATGAAAAAAGTAAGGTAATAGGTAAAGTTTCGTTTTGTTTTTACAATATAGATACCCGTATCTACTATACATTTTTTAGTAAGACATAACTTTACTATCTTACACAAAAAATCAATCCACTATACGTCTTTCAATTTTACCGATCATAGCTAATAAATTTCATTATCACAACTGATTATTATTATTGAAGTACTTTATTATTCGATGCGTTCGTGGAAGTTACCGGGGGTTTTTATGAGTCACTGGATTAATAACAGTATTATTTTATCATCATCATCATTTCAGCGTACTGGATAGCCCATAGAGCTGTAAAAACAGTTTTTGACCATGAAGATGGTCTCCGTCCTTCCTTCCACTCCACGGAGCGCGTGTGGGAGGCTGCCAAGGAACACTTCAATGTGACTTCACAAGCTGAACTCCTACCACACGTGTATAAACACTTCGATAAAGCACAATTCGCTGGTAAGCTGAGTGGATCATAGATATTAATTTATTAAAAGGCTCAGTTAATGCTGTTTGATTTTCATCAAACTATATTTTTGATGTTACCTTTAGGTGGTTCCTATAGAAAAGACGATCAATTAATCGCATTTTAATAATATTATTTTTACCCAACAATAATATATATTACATGAAAAAACTCGTCATGAACACATCTAAAATCTCTAATATAGCAAGATTTAAAGTAAATTTATACTTAATCAACGAATTGATACATTTCAAACACTGTTTCTCTCCAGGATTGACATCAAAGCTGTCCCAATTAGCTTATGAAGGGGATGAGCTAGCGCAGCACGTGTTCGCTGATGCTGGTTCAGCGCTAGCAGCACACGCTGCAGCACTCGCAGATAAAGCACAGAGGAGGAACGGGAGGGAAAAGGGACAGGGGGAGGGAATGGAGGAAAACGGAGGAGAACTGAAAACAATAAGAGTTGTATGTGTCGGCTCGGTCTGGAAGAGTTGGTCGCTGTTGAAACCTGGGACGCTGAAACAACTCAATAAGAGACGTGTGAGTATATACTATTGTCTCTCTCTCTCACTCTTGGTGGTAGGGGTATCTGCCTTGTTTATCTTCTTCTTCCACTTCACTCTATCAGACGGTTCATATTTAGAGACTTCAGGAAATCATGTTTTTTGTGATCAAACTAGCTTTCCGCCCGCAGCTTCGCCCGCGTGGAGTTCGGTTATATCGCGTTTCCAAGAGAACCTTTCAAAAGTCTGGGATAAAAGCTATCCTATGTTCTTACTCAAGGTCAACTCTATCTCTACCAAATTTTATTAAAATCAGTTCAGTGGTTTAGGCGTGATAGCGTAACAGACAGACTGACAGAGTTACTTTCGCATTTATAATATTAATAGGGATCTGTCCAGCTTATTTTTGGTCATCCTCTAAGTCAGGACCATGGTATGTTCACGTTAATTTTCACATAGTCCATAAGCTAGTCTTCTTTTCTTTATGTATCCGAACCAGCAAAGTCTTGTTTCTTATAGCTTATAAAGAGAATTTACCTTTCATTATTAACCAGGTATATATTTCAGATAACAACAAATCTTGAATTTGTTCGTTTGCGTGTATCGAGCGCTATTGGAGCTGCCTGGCTCGCTGCTAAGAACGTTGACTTTGATCTGCCGAGAGACGACAAGACGTACTGCGAGGTGTTCTATACCTACACACCAAATATTAACAAACTAAGTAAAGTGAATGGTCACAATGGAAAAGAGAATGGCGTCGTTGGCTGCGGATGTAGCGATTGGTCATATTGGAGCTAATTGAAGAAGGTTTTTGTTGTTATAGAGATAGTGATGTAAACATAGAAACATTTAAGTCATATAAATCTATACTACATATTCAATTATCATTCCAAATAAGATGTACTGGTTAAATACATTTTTAACACATTTAGGATGTCTTCGTAAATGTTGAAAGACTTCAAAATAATAAGATCAAACCGTATTTTGTACTGAATGTTTTATTGTGTAATATTAATATTAAGTCTAGTCAATAAGAAACTCAAAATTTATCTATACTTGTATATAATTTGAACAAAACTATTTACGTAAACTTATTGTATACATCTATTATTTTACAAAAGATCTTGGTTTAGGATAGGCTTAGTTCCTAATTTTTGTTATTTTTTTTGTAAATTAAATATGTTTAGAATATAGCACATATCAAAATTATATATTTCGGATACATAAAAAAAATCTAAGATTTTGTGATTTGAATCTGTATATAAAAATGTATAATAAGTAAAATTTTTATATTATATTAAATTTATTTTACCAGGTTTATTTTTTATTTCCCCTTAACATATGTACTTGAAATCAAGAAATTCAATAAAATATTGACAATTTTCTTGAGAAATCGTAAATTTTTATTAATTGAAATCTCTAATTTCGTCAAAGAATCTAGACTATCAAGCGGCTACTGTCATTACTGTCAACTGTAAATTGTCAAAATAAACGCAATATGTCAATAAGAGTAGTGTCTCGATTTTTGATTAGGAATAGTAAATTACACATAAACTACAACAATGTTTGCAGAACTTTATCAAGTTACAGTCAAGATCAGAGTTACGATAATTTAAAAAATAAATACTTTTTTGGCGGCATCCTAGTCGCCGCTGGTGTTGTAGGTTATGTGACTTTAAAGGAAAAGGTGTCTGCTGCGAGTGTTATTAATTTATCAGGCAGACGTGATCAGTTTAACTTTATAGCTGATGTTGTAGCCGTATCCGCGCCTTCTGTAGTGTACATTGAAATCGAGGATTCCAGAAGATTAGACATATTTACTGGTAAACAATTAACACTGTCCAATGGATCAGGTTTTATAGTGAAGGAAGACGGATTAATATTAACAAATGCTCATGTTGTGGTTAATAAACCTAACGCGACCGTCAAAGTACGGTTAATGGTAAGTTATACGACACATAAACTACATATAAAATATGTAAACAAAAGATAGATTCATAATGATGCAATAAATTATTAGTTACTATTTATTTTAAAAATATACTTCAAAAGTATACACGATAAACTAAAGTAAATAATTAGAATAAATAAATGGTGAGAATTTAAATATGCTCACATAAAACAAGAAAGTGGCAGAAACTTGATTCATTTCTAAATATCAATGTATAATATTTATTAGTACTTTAATTATATTATTCAATTACATTACATAAATTTAAAATCAATTTTTCCTCTTTATAATTATCAAGTAGTAAATTTTGACCTACATAATCACCCAATATAAATTTTTCATAATAGAAACTATTACAATTCCAGGATGGTTCAACACATATCGGTATAGTTGAAGATGTAGACTTGAAATCAGATCTAGCCACTCTAAGGATACCCGTCAAGAACTTGCCGACAATGAAACTCGGATCATCGGCTGATATTCGTCCTGGCGAGTGGGTTTGTATTTATAAAAATATTATTATATTTTTTTATTAGTATTCAATAAAACTATATTAAAATTGTCATGTATGTATTGTGCTTAGTTACAAACTAAATGACATCAACTAATATTATAAACTATTCTACTTGCATTGCACTTGACATTATATTATTATTTTGACAAAATGAGCAAGCATAACTTCCTCAAAAAAAAATAAAAAATAGACAACTTTATTCTATAAAACTATATTAAATTAATAATGTATGTACTTTTAACAAGATTGAATGATTGAAGCTAATATTATAATGATCTATATACATATTTCATAATACGGAGAAAGTAAAACTAATAAACAACAACAATTTAAGATAGTTTCTCCCACCTCGTCCCAACTTCCTTGGCATCAAATGCTTTCAAATGTCCAAACATCTTTGTTACTTATTTTCTTTGTCTTGAGTCTTATAAACCAATTTCTATATTAAGCTACATAATATAAAAATATTCAAACAGGAAATACTTGTAGAATTCTGCTGGTGTTGATGAATTTTTCATTCTATATCTAATAACTAAATTTTAATTCTAACTTTAGGTCAATATTGTTTTATATCAACACACACATGTAAAACAAGATTGATTGAAATATAATCCAGACTTATGGAGGAATATAAATTTTAATATGTGTTATACAGTGTGTTCTAATCTATGAAATAAAATTAATTTACAAAAAGGTCCATTATAGTCTTAGAAAAGCTGAGGATTTGGTTATTTCTGTATATTTTGTCAATTGTCATACAACATAACTATTCCGAAGATATCTATGTTTTCTATAGATCCTTTGTCTGTTTCAGACATGTTCGTTGGCCAGTGCTTTTGAGTCACTTGGCCATATCCAAATAGGTATTAAAATCTTGTATACATTGTAATATGAAGCATGTTTGTTGTTTATTTTGGTTTCTTATAACTGTTCTATATGCTACGATGTCTTGAATGTAATTTTTTTTGCCGTCTATCTGGAGTATTGTCTTTTCTCTCTGTATTTTGTCATCCTTAATATATCAGAAGTTTAAAGATTCATTGTATATTGCTAAATTAATTACATTTGTAATGTTTTGTGTTGTAGGTGGTAGCAATGGGCAGTCCTCTGGCTTTAAGTAACACAGTGACCGCGGGTGTAATAAGTTCAACTCAACGAGCCAGCGAGGAATTGGGACTGAGAGGTAAGTTATAAATACATATGATCAAAACATACTTAAGTTGTTGGAGAGCATTTATTAAAAATAAATTGAAGATAATTTTCATTTAATTATTATCATTATGGATAATTATTTTTAATTTAATATGCAAATTGTGGTAAGATGTAAGTTTAAAGCCTTTATACATATTATATATACAATGAAATAAAATTGTAGTGACTTTATGTAATAATAAATGTATTTGGATGTAATATACCATATATTAAAATGTTTGTTTATACTTATTTCTGAAACAGCTAGACTGATTATGACCGAACTTTTACTAGCAGACAGATGACGTAATAAGAGTAACTTAGTATTTAAAATTAAAATAACTATTTGTGTCAAAGTCATGGTTAAAAATATAACACACAGTAGTACAGTAATATTTTGTTCACTCACTGTTACTAATTCATATTCTTCTTAAAAGTTAGCTAGCAAAAACAAAGACTGGACCGAATTTGATAATACTTTGGTATGACCAGGCAAAGACATGGTTTACATACAGACCGATGCCCCAATCACCTTTGGTAACAGCGGTGGACCACTCGTCAACTTGAACGGGGAAGCGATAGGTATCAACAGTATGAAAGTCACATCAGGAATATCATTTGCCATACCCATAGACTATGTCAAGGACTTCCTTGAAAAACGTGAGTAATTTATATTGCTATTGCTTTCATATATAAATACAGCTTTATAACACACAAAATGTATAAATATTTTTGTTTTGGTACAGTTAAAATGTGTTTCAAAACAATAGTCAGTTTAACAACATATTTAGAGGCCCCATTGTATTGGATCATATTATACTAATTGATAAATAATAATTAATATATATATAATACTAGTAAACCCGGCGAACTCCGTTTCGCCACCAGAATGCTTTTATATAACATTTCGTTTGGTGATTAAAAGATGAAGAATTTTTTTTTGTTTTATATTGGAAAAGGAAAATTTTTATTTCATTTCACAACAGTAATGAATTCATTTCGATTACAAAAATGAAGTGTTATTTAGTTGAACTTCTCTAAGTAAATGAAAGTGAATCCAAAGTAGATACCGAATCGAAGTGTTATACGTGTCCGCAAAATATCCGTTTCATTATCATAAATAAAGCGTATGGTTTCCAAACTCGTGAACACGCAAAATATAACTGCCCATGTGAAAAACAATGTTTTCTAAATCCCGCAAATACTAAATGGTTTTAAGAGTTCAAACTACAAACACAATACCGGTTTGTCACATGAAATTAACTGAGAAGAGAACAATGAGTAGCTGTCAAACAATATATCATGCGACGGCACCGTCTACTTAAAATATTGATTTGTAGTACATATTATGTACGATGGCGCTGTATGTGAAAAAAGATTTTCCCCCTTTTCTGTTCAAATTTTTTGTTATAAACCTCACGGAGCCCGAGACTTATTTTTATATAGGAGATCTCTTACAAATATCTAATTGTCATCAATACGTCATTACATATCTGTCATTATACGTCAATTGCATAGCTGTCAATTGTGTTTCGTTATTCCACGTTTTATAGTGACTGAAGTTTCATGTCAAGTCCCACGGGAATGCTGTCGAACGGGATAAAAAGTATCCTATTGCAATTTCCTGGCTCTAAACTACCGCCCTGCCAATTTTCAGCTAAATCGGTTCAGCCGTTCTTGAGTTATAAGTGGAGTAACTAACACGACTTTCTTTTACATATATAGATGTAGATTTAATATTTCTTACCACATATAAAATAAGTAACAAAATTTTAAAATTTAATTTGGGAAAACACTACTTTAATGAATTTTTTTTTTTTTTAGATTTTGTCTCTTTATATATTAATATTTAATTAAATCATATTTAATTGCAGGAACAACTAAAACACCACCAGTTTCAAGAAGATACTTAGGCATAACAATGCTATCTTTAACACCCAACATACTTATGGAGCTACGAATGAGGAATCCTGAGGTATAGTAATCTTATCGAATCTGCAACCAAACATTTACCGTCGCCCTAACAACTGAACAATCGTGTCATACATGGTTGAATTCTGATGACAATAGATATTTCAAAAAATAACATTTCAAAACTAAAATATGTTTATAACTAGCTTTCCGCCCGCGGCTTCGCCCGCTTCGAGTTCGTCTACATCGCGTTTCGAAGAGATTTCAAAAGTTTGGGATAAAAACAATCCTATGTTCTTTCTCAAGGTTAACTCTATTTCTGTACCAAATTTCATTAAAATCAGTTCAGTGGTTTAGGCGTGAAAGCGTAACAGACGGACAGAGTTACTGTAGCTTTTATAATATTAGTAGGGATTGATACGAAAAACTGAAAAAAATCAATTAATTATTAACAAATAAAAATTGATATAATTTATGAAATAACCACTTGTCTAAGAACTCGCCACGATTGATCATCGTGCGTATGACGTACAATGTTAAAATAATTTTAAGGTAGTAGTGTCAACAGCTTTTATGTCTATCAGCTATATGCTACAATGAGTAGACATTAATATTATGAATTCACATGCGTTCGGGTTAACTCGGGAATTGTCGGCTTGTTTTCGGTATTGGATTCAAAAAAAAAAAATGATATAACTTTTTAATAATAATCAAATAATAGTTTTGTTATAAAACTTATATATCGTTCCATTTATCACAAAAAAATATCAAATACCCAATTAATATGTATATTTGTATATAATGTATGTACATGTTTTCTTACTTGTTTTATTATACTATTTCCAGATGCCTACAGATATTCAACACGGAATTGTCGTATGGAAAGTCATAATCGGATGTCCTGCTTACAAGTTTGTATTGATGTTTAATTAATTTAATTTTTTCCCGTATTATTTATCATAGTAATAAAAATATTACATAATTCTCCTATGATTCACAGAAAATATATTCTAAATCATCTATACAGGGTGACTGGTGAATTACTATCGATACTTGAGGACGTGATATTTGACGATCATATATGACAAAATAAAAATTAATATAACATAAATATTAATAAACTTCTAAGTAAAGTTAACCAAAAGTTATGTAATTAATTACGCATCGTGTGAACACCCTACAGATTAGGTAAACACACACACTCACACATACGCGTGCGGCGGCGTAGTGTTGTATCAGCACGCCGCCGCACGCGTCCACACTTGGAACACTTAGAACGTGTCAACATTTTATTTATTTATACGGAAATTTTGTCAAAAATTAAGTGCCTATTTTTTACATAATTCGAATGAGAATCATGTACCGAGTATTCTCCTTAAATATTGATAGTAATTCACCAGTCACCCTGTATATATAAAAGAAAATCGTGTTAGTTACTCCACTTATAACTCAAGAACGGCTAAACCGATTTAGCTGGAAATTGGGAGGGAGGTAGTTTAGAGCCAGGAAAATGCAATAGGATACTTTTTATCCCGTTCGACAGCATTCCCTTGGGACTTGACATGAAACGTCCATCACTATAAAACGTGGAATAACGAAACAATTGACAGCTATGCAATTGCCGTATAATGACAGATATGTAATGACGTATGGATGACAATTAGATATTTGTAAGAGATCTACTATATAAAAATAAGTCCGGTTTTCCATCCTGACGCTATAACTTCAGAACGAACGAAACAATCTCCACAGTTTTGCATTCGTTGGAAAGGTCTCGGGCTCCGTAAGGTTTATAACAAAAAATTTCAACAGAAAAGCGGGAAAATCTTTTTTCACATACAGCGCCATCATACATAACATGTACTACAAATCAATATTTTAAGTAGATGGAGCCGTCGCATGATACATTGTTTGACAGCTACTCATTGTTCTCTGCTCAGTTAATTTCATGTGACAAACCGGTATTGTGTTTGTAGTTTGAACTCTTAAAACCATTTAGTATTTGGGGGATAAATTTAGAAAATCATTGTTTTTCACATGGGAGTTTTATTTTGCGTGTTCACGAGTTTGGAAATATGCTTTATATAATTCAATATGTTCACAAAACTTCATGAGAATCGGTCAGGCTGTTTTGGAGTAGTACGCGAACGAACATTGTGACGTGACATGATCGTTTCAGCGTACTGGATAGCCCATAGAGCTGTGAAAACAGTTTTTGACCATGAAGATAGTCTCCGTCCTTCCTTGCACTCCACCGAGCGTGTGTGGGAGGCTGCCAAGGAACACTTCAATGTGACATCACAAGCTGAACTCCTACCACACGTGTATAAACACTTCGATAAAGCACAATTCGCTGGTAAGATGATAAGTGAATTGTATATATTTTTTCGTGAAATTAATTAAATTGCTTTTATTAATACTGTTTTTTTTCATCAAACTGTGTTTTTGAACTCAACTCCAGTAGTTCCTATCGAGTAAACTTTCTATTAATCGTATCTTAATAATACCTATTATTTTTACCCAACAATAATATATATAACATGAAAAACTATACTAAGTAACTCGTAACGAACACATATAAAACCTCTAATATAACATCACTTAAACTAAATATTCCCTTAATCAACGAATTGATTTCAAACACTGTTTCTCTCCAGGATTGACATCAAAGCTATCCCAATTAGCTTATGAAGGGGATGAACTAGCGCAGCACGTGTTCGCTGATGCTGGTTCAGCGCTAGCAGCACACGCTGCAGCACTCGCAGATAAAGCACAGAGGAGGAACAGGAGGGAAAAGGGACAGGGGGAGGGAATGGAGGAAAACGGAGGAGAACTGAAAACAATAAGAGTTGTATGTGTCGGCTCGGTCTGGAAGAGTTGGTCGCTGTTGAAACCTGGGACGCTGAAACAACTCAATAAGAGACGTGTGAGTGTATACTATTGTCTCTCTCTTTCTCTCACTCTTGGTGGTGGGGTATCTGCCTTCTTTATCTTCTTCTTCCACTTCGCTCTATCAGACGGTTCATATTTAGAGATTTCAGGAAGTCCTGTCTTTTACGATCAAATCTGTCCATCTTATTTTCGGTCATTCTCTAAGACTAAACCCTAGAATGATCAGATTGATTGTCATATTGCCCGAATAATCTACACGACTTCTCTTTACGTATCCAAACCAGCAAAGTCTGGTTTCTTTAAGCTTATAAAGAGAATTTACCTTTCATTATTAACCAGGTATATATTTCAGATAACAACAAACCTTGAATTTGTTCGTTTGCGTGTATCGAGCGCTATTGGAGCTGCCTGGCTCGCTGCTAAGAACGTTGACTTTGATCTGCCGAGAGACGACAAGACGTACTGCGAGGTGTTCTATACTTACACACCAAATATTAACAAACTAAGTAAGGTGAATGGTCACAATGGAAAAGAGAATGGCGTCGTTGGCTGCGGATGTAGCGATTGGTCCTATTGGAGCTAATTGAAGAAGTTTTTTGTTGTTATAGAGATAGTTATGTGAACATAGAAACATTTAAGGCATATAAATCTATACTACACATTCAATTATTCCAAATAAGATTTACAGGTTACATAAATTTTAACAATGTATTCCATCCTAAACGTTGAAAGACTTCAAAACATAAGATCAAACCGTATTTTGTACTGAATGTTTTATTAAGTAATATTAATATTAAGTCTAGTCAATAAGAAACTCAAAATTTATCTAAACTTGTATATAATTTGAACAAAACTATTTACGTAAAGTTATTTCTTGTATACTTCTGTTATTTTACAAAAGATCTTGGTTTAGGATAGGCTTAGTTCCTAATTTTTGTTATTTTATTTGTAGATTAAATATATATAGAATATAGCACATATCAAAATTGTAAATTTTGGAAATATGTATAAAAAAATTATTGATGGTTGCGATTTGAATCTGTATATAAAATATTATCAAGTAAAATTTTTATATTATATAAATTTATTTTACCAGATTTATTTTTTATTTCCCCTTAACGTATGTTCTTAACTTGAAATCATGGATTTCAATAAAATATTAATAATTTTCTTGAAAAATCGTAAATTTTTATTAATTGAAATCTCTATTTAATTTCATCAAAGAATCTAGACTATCAAGCGGCTCGCTGTCATTACTGTCACTTGTGATTTGTCAAAATAAACGCAATATGTCAATAAGAGTAGTCTCTCGATTTTTGATTAGGAATAGTAAATTAAAAATAAACTACAACAATGTTTGCAAAACTTTATCAAGTTACAGTCAAGATCAGAGTTACGATAATTTAAAAAATAAATACTTTTTTGGCGGCATCCTAGTCGCCGCTGGTGTTGTAGGTTATGTGACTTTAAAGGAAAAGGTGTCTGCCGCGAGTGTTATTAATTTATCAGGCAGACGTGATCAGTTTAACTTTATAGCTGATGTTGTAGCTGTATCCGCGCCTTCCGTAGTGTACATTGAAATCGAGGATTCCAGAAGGTTGGATATATTTACTGGTAAACAATTAACACTGTCTAACGGATCGGGTTTTATAGTGAAGGAAGACGGATTAATATTAACAAATGCTCATGTTGTGGTTAATAAACCTAACGCGACCGTCAAAGTACGGTTAATGGTAAGTTATTAAACATAAACTACATATAAAATATTTAAACAAAAGATAGATTCATAATGATGCAATAATTTGTTAGTTACAATTTATATTAATAATGGAATTTAGAAGTATACACGATAAACTTAAGTAAATAATTAGACTAAATAAATTGTGAGAAATTAAATATGGTGAGACGATAAATCAAGACAGTGGCAGAAATTTGATTCATCTTGAAATATCAATCTATAATATTTAATAGTACATTTAATTTTACCACTACATTAATGTGAAATCAATTTTTCCTCTTTACAATGATCAAGTAGTAAATTTTGACCAACATAATCTTCCAATAAAAATGATTCATAATAGAAACTATTACAATTACAGGATGGTTCAACTCATATCGGTATAGTTGAAGATGTAGACTTGAAATCAGATCTAGCCACTCTAAGGATACCCGTCAAGAACTTGCCTACAATGAAACTCGGATCATCGGCTGATATTCGGCCTGGCGAGTGGGTTTGTATTTATAAAAATATAATTATATTTTCCATTGCAGTAATCAATAAAACTATATTAAATTAATAATGTATGTAGGTACTTTTAACAAGATTGAATGATTGAAGCTAATATTATAATGATCTATATACATATTTCATAATACGGAGAAAGTAAAACTAATAAACAACACCAATTTAAGATAGTTTCTCCCACCTCATCCCAACTTCCTTGGCATCAAATGCTTTCAAATATCCAAACATCTTTGTTACTTATTTTCTTTGTCTTGAGACTTATAAACCAATTTCTATATTAAGCTACATAATATAAAAATATTCAAACAGGAAATACTTGTAGAATTCTGCTGGTGTTGGTGAAGTTATTATTCTATATTTCAGAACCAAATTTTAATTACAACTTTAGGTCAATATTGTTTTATATCAACATTCAACATACACATGTAAAACAAGATTGATTGAAATATAAGCCAGAGTTATTTAATAGTAAAAGTGGTGTCATATAAATTATGATCTGCGTTATACAGTGATTTCTAATCTGTAATACATTAAAAAAAAGTTCTATTAAAGTGTTATAAAACATTAATATTTATCAATAGTGTTTCAACTACTCCGAAGGTCTGTATTTTCTATAGATCCTTTGTCTTTTTCAGACAAGTTCGTTGGCCAGTGCTTTTGAGTCACTTGGCCATATCCAAATAGGTATTCAAATCTTGTATTCATTGTAATATGGAGCATGTTTGTTGTTTATTTTGGTTTCCTATAACTGTTCTATATGCTACAATGTCTTGAATGTAATTTTTTTTGCCGTCTATCTGGAGTCTTTTCTCTCTGTATTTTGTCGTCCTTAATATATCAGAAGTTTACAGATTCATTGTATTTTGCTAAATTAATTACATTTGTAATGTTTTGTGTTATAGGTGGTAGCAATGGGAAGTCCTTTGGCTTTAAGTAACACAGTGACCGCGGGTGTAATAAGTTCAACTCAACGAGCCAGCGAGGAATTGGGACTGAGAGGTAAGTTATAAATATGATCAAAACATACTTAAGTTGTTGCAGAGCATTTATTAAGAATAAATTGAAGATAATTTTCATTTAATTATCATTATGGATAATTATTTTTAATTTTATATGCAAATTCTGGTCAGATGTAAGTTTAAAGCCTTTATACATATTATATATACAATGAAATAAAATTGTAGTGACTTTATGTAATAATAAATGTATTTGGATGTAATATACCATATATTAAAATGTTTGTTTATACTTATTTCTGAAACAGCTAGACTGATTATGACCGAACTTTTACTAGCAGACAGATGACGTAATAAGAGTAACTTAGTATTTAAAATTAAAATAACTATTTGTGTCAAAGTCATGGTTAAAAATATAACACACAGTAGTACTGTAATATTTTGTTCACTCACTGTTACTAATTCATATTCTTCTTAAAAGTTAGTTAGCAAAAACAAAGACTGGACCGAATTTGATAATACTTTGGTATGACCAGGCAAAGACATGGTTTACATACAGACGGATGCCCCAATCACCTTTGGGAACAGCGGTGGACCTCTCGTCAACTTGAACGGGGAAGCGATAGGTATCAACAGTATGAAAGTCACATCAGGAATATCATTTGCCATACCTATAGACTATGTAAAGGACTTCCTTGAAAAACGTTAGTAATTCATATTGGTATTACCTTCATATATAAATACAGCTTTATAACACACATTGTTTTGGTACAGTAAAATGTATTATTCAAAATAGTATTCAGTTTAACAACATATTTAGAGTATATATTAGGTATATATAAGATTATTGTATACATATATATTTAATATTTAAAATATATATGTAGATTTAATATTTCTTATAAAATTAGTAACATAATTTCAAAATTTTATTTGGGAAAACACTACATTAATGAAAATTTATTAATTTATTTTTTGAGATTTGTCTCTATGTGTATATTATTAATATTTAATTAAATTATATCTAATTGCAGGTACAACTAAAACACCACCAGTTTCAAGAAGATACTTAGGCATAACAATGCTATCTTTAACACCCAACATACTTATGGAGCTACGAATGAGGAATCCTGAGGTATTGTAATCATATCGAATCTGGGACCAAACATTTACCGTCGCACGCGTCCACACTTGGAACACTTGGAACGTGTACACACTTTATTTATTTATACGGAAATTTGGTCAAAAATTAAGTACCTATTTTTTTACATGATTCTCATTCGAATTATGTAAAAAAAATGGTACTTAATTTTTGACCAAATTTCCGTATAAATAAATAAAGTGTTAACACGTTCCAAGTGTGGACGCGTGCGGCGGCGTGCTGATACAACACTACGCCGCCGCAAGCGTATGTGTGTGTGTGTGTGTGTATACCTAATCTGTAGGGTGTTCACACGATGCGTAATTAATTACATAACTTTTGATTAACTTTACTTAAAAGTTTATTAATATTTATGTTATATTAATTTTTATTTTGTCATATATGATAGTCAAATATCACGTCCTCAAATATATCGATATTAATTACTATCGAGTAATCCACCAGTCTCCCTGTATAATATGTAAATAATCTTATCATTGAATCTGTAATTTGTCGGATTACAAGGAACTCTTTTGTAAAAAGATCCGCACTGTAGGGGGTCTTAGGCAGTACTCTATAATCCGACGAATTCCATAGTTCGACACTGACCTGCAACATGTTTGTCGGACTACCGGTGGTCCACTGTAATTATTTACAAATAAAAATTTATATGAAATAACCATGTGACTAAGAACTCGAAACAATTGATCATCGTGCGTATGACTTCACAATGTTAAAAGAATTTGAAGGTATAGTGCATTTGATTTAAGCTGAGCTTTGCTCTTGTGTGAGTGCACACGGATAATGTAGTGCACACGAATGCCACGTTATTTTCTAGTTTTTAACCGGTTTATTCTGCTTTTACTCCACCCCGTAACCTTCCTCCCTTCACTCTTTGTAATGTTAGCAAAATCAAATGTTGAAAACGCAATGTCAAGTGAAGAAGAATTTTTATAGTTTTTTTTTTAATTTTTATTAATTATTTTTTTTTCTATAATACATACATATTCATAATATTTTCATCTGCCCTTTTACAAGTTTTGCTTATTTTATAACACTTATGATATGTATCTATTTAAAATATAATAAAATTGAATTCTAAAAGTTTTTTGTCTAACTCTACTTTTACTTTCATTCACACAAATGCAAAGCTGAGCCTAAGTCTATCGGACTATAGTACAGTGTCAACAGATTCTATGTGTATCAGCTGTGTGCTCCAATGGGACGTTAATATTATGACGTCACACGCGCTCGGGAACGCGTTCGGTGTGTTTTCAGCACTGGATTCAAAAAATTATTTTTAATTTGATATAACTTTTTAAACATACGGAAAAAAAACAAACAAAAAAGTTTTGTTATAAAATATTTTCATATACGTTTATGTATTTATGTATATCTTTGTATATAAGGTATGTATGTATATGTTTTCTTACTTGTTTTATTATATTTCCAGATGCCAACAGATATTCAACACGGAATTCTCGTATGGAAAGTGATAATCGGATCTCCTGCTTACAAGTTTGTATTGATATTTGATTTTATTAACTTTCCCCTTATGATTTGTAATAATAAAAAAATAACATAGTTCTCCTATTAGACACAGAAAATATATTCTAAATATTCTGTTAAATATAAATTTACATGATATTAACAAAAGTCGGGTTTAAAAATAAATGACAATTGACTCTATTGACATAATTTTGTCAATGTCAAAGTCATTATAGACTAATAACGATTTATTTTACCGTTACGACCCGGAATCCGGACTTTTAGCAAGTATTGGTCAACATTTAAAAATCTCATGAACTGATAATTAATCTAAATATATTTTCTACTACATATATATATTATCGTAAAACTTAAATGTATACAAGTTGATAGTCTTATGAAGACACAAATCTCATACAAAATCTATTTACTCAGCGGCGGCCTGCAACCTGGAGATATAGTGACCCACATCAATAATACTCCAGTAACAAATGCGTCAGATATATACGCAGCCCTAGAAAAGAACGTGGGCCCGCTCAGCATGAACGTGGTACGAGGTAGAACGAGGATGATTGTCGTCGTGATGCCAGACATGCACTAATAAATTATACGGACGCGTGGACCTTTTATTTTACCCCCACTCCTTACCACCCCCTACCATGAAACAATCGCGCCATTACGTGGTACGAGGGCATTATAAATAAATATTATTTATGTATGCAATTGTTGATGTATATATGTTTTGACATAAGCATGTGATAAAAGCCTCAATGTAATATTAGTTCCGTCCTAGAGCTATATAAATGTTTAGAAAAATAATGCCTTTACCGTTAAATGTATTTATAGTACAAATATTCTAATTGTTTTTAACGACAAGCAATACTACAGTGTGCACGCTTGACTTAACTTTAATTGACAATAAAAAATGTTTAAATAATTTCTCTATAGGAATGGTAGTCGTATGTAATAGAAATGTTCTGTTCGATAAGGCTTTGCTTGTTATTGGTGAGTAGAAAATATATGCACTTATATAAAGAGTTTACATATGTTATGGGGTTTAAAATATATTGTCTATGGTAGGACCTATGTGCAGTTAAGAAGTAAAAATATATATGTATATTAATTATCCACAAATGTTATTAAATATAGAGATTTTAAGCAATTTTGTGTTTGTAGAAATGTTGATTATTACAATATTTTTTACTAATGAAAAATGGGTTTTATTTAACACTAGCTTTCCGCCCGCGTGGAGTTCGGTTATATCGCGTTGTCAAGAGAACTTTTCAAAAGTTGGGATAAAAACTATCCTATGTTCTTTCTCAAGGTCTCTGTACCAAATTTCATTAAAATCAGTTCAGTGGTTTAGGCGTGAAATCGTAACAGACAGAGTTACTTTCGCATTTATAATATTAGTAGGAATTTTAAGTTATAGTAATTTTAGTATACCATGTACATATAATACTTCATAGTATACTCTATAATTCTTTAAGTTTAAGAAATAATTACCTTTTAACAATTCTCTCTTGCGTAAGGGCATACAAATTATAAGTGGGTGAATTTATAATTTGGTTTAATTTTTAAAACATATCAGCTTTTTTGCTAATGACGGATTATTTTAATTATTAGCAAATTAATTGAATCAGAAATTCTGGAACACAAATTGAATATTTTTTACATAGTATATAAATTAGTCACCATAGATGTCATTTATTTTAACTCCAGTATTCTGAGTATAAAATTACTGAAGCTTACAATTAATCTTAATAAGTATAATTTAGTAAAGTGTCATCTGTTGGTAGACGATATTATTAGTGTAGTAGAATTTTATTTAAGAAATGTATTTTTTATTAGGTGCTTTTACAGCAAACCATCGGATTGAAGAGCTATCGTTCGCGTAAGTATTAGTCAATATGGTTATATCTAAATAATTAAACAAATATAATTCTAATGAGGATAAAATAATGAAAATATTTCAGTAGACTTCATTCTTATGTAAAAATTCTCATCTCATTCAATCTTCATGTAAAAATAGTTTAATAGAAATAAAATAAAAATAGTTTATCAACGTATTAAAATTCGTTTGATGATTTCTCTTTTTTGGCAGAATGCGTGCAAAAAATTTTGACACTTTTTAGGGTTTTCATAGGCCTCATAAATTATTGTGTTTGAAAGACACGTACATTTAATTTTATAGAATGTTTTTTTGTTCTTTAAGAGAGTAACGTGAATTTTAAACTTATTTAAATTTTGTAAACCAGAAACGACGTGGTCGTTATTCTACTAATATTAAAAATGGAAAATGATGGATGTATGGACGTTTGTAGCTCTGTCGCGCAACTCTACAGCAATTTAGCTTAGACTATTATACATATATCATGTCATTAGTATTAATTGTACTTATGATTTCACATACTGCATTTAACACCATTAGTCATAAGTCCAAGCGTTGAGAGTTTAGTGGCAGCCTATTCGAGCTGACAAAGGTGGAGACTAGCTTCGGCGTCGCTTTCGCAAAAGTAACTGATGTTTTCTGACGCTTCAAAGGGACTATTTTAAAGATGTCAAGCTTCTATTTTGAGGACCAAGTGAGTTCTTGGGTCTTAGAGGATCAGTTAATCTCACCGATAGTAGATTGAAGACCAAGGTTCTAGGTATTCTGAGAGACTTGATCCAGGAATCTGTATATGAAGCGAGTTGTCACGAACGCTATTAACAGCTTGTTATTTGAGACTGAACGAGGAGCTACGGTGCATAAAGTGGCTCCCTAAACTCTCATAACTGTTGTGGCTCACCTGTGAAATAAAGAGCTCCTATAAGTACGAGGAGACCTGCATACGGTCCAACAGGCAACACTGTGGCGTTGTCTTTTTCATTCCTCAGAGCTTGATTCTCGGGCTCGTCTCGTAGAACATATAGAATGGGACTAACTTAATTATTTGCTGTACACACCTGGCCCGACTGAGTGTTTTTTGCTACGCTAGCGATACCCTCCTTATAGGAAGGAGGAGAATCTTGTGGACAAAGACAATGACCAACCGGTGAAACAGAAACCTCCCGCTCCCGCATGTGATAGGTGTAATGATCGGGACCAAGACTTTTGTTTGCAGTGGCCTCCTTCTGGGAGTAGGAGATTACCGCAAAGACTATATATATCATATTACTCAATTCTTAGGGGTTGACTTGGAACTAGGTGGTAGAAGAATATCAGCTGCCTCCTCTCTCTGCTGTAGCTCCGATAGGATAGTGACGTCGAGCCATTCCTCCGACAAAACCTGCGTTTTTTAAGAATCCTGGTTTAATGGAACGCCCTCATAAGGATATAATAATCCAAAATTATCCGAAAACGAACCCGCGATGTCATGGCGGTGAATTAAACCAACCGTTAGTTGTTTTACGAGGTAAATCGACAAGTATACGAAGTAATTACTTCTAAAATTAAAAGAATGATTATTGAATTAGAAACGGGCAATGCTTCGTACGTACTTTGATGATGCAAAAATTGGACTATCCATACTGACATTTGAAAATAAAACACAATTATAAATAATGTTTGCATATGTTCTACTATAATCGTTATTATTAAATACTTTAAAATAATATGTGGGACAGACACTTAATGGTATTAAGATAATATATATGGTATAAGGAGGACCAGAACTCAAAGGACGTCCACCCTCTCATCTAGTGAATTGTGATATAAAAAGAATGGGAAGGTTTTGATTTATTACAGTAGGTATCTCTGTCCGACAGATCAATTGACCCTATTTGCTCTCACTTCGATATAAAAAATCTATCACTTTCATACAAAAGAACTGTCAATTTTTCATGTCTTTTTATTGCTCAAGTAACTCTAGTCCTTTACCTGTTCATTATTATAAGTGAAACAAAAATATACATACATATTTAAAATTATAACGTTACATTTAAAAAACGATACTTTATTGGTGTTAAAGAAAAAAAAAAACAATTAAACTGTGATTCTAAAATGGATTTAGATTAATTTTAAAATGTTAGAAGTACTGAGTAATGTTTTCGCAATTAAAAATAAAATCGGTTTCCTAACAAGTTACCTACTAAAGTCATCTGACACTTTCTCTAATAAAGAGCGAACATATACTTAAATACATATTATGTATACATACCTACATACATGGGTACATACATACATACAGGTTAGACCCTAATCTACCTCTCCTTTCTAACTTCGTCAGATCAAGCTTAAAAATAGCTATAAACAGTCAAAATTGGACATGAAAACCTATGAATGTATTTATTTATAAAGGCCTGTACTTCATAATTTACATGAAAAATAAGTACATTCTTATTTGGGTGTTAAAATAACATACAACAGACATTTCCATTTTGTAAAAATAATTGAACGTCTTTTATTCATTTTATAGAATTCAATTATTTTAATTTACACTTAAAAAAATATCTTAAAAGAGATACAATTTTTTCCTTGTAATTTTTAAAAGAATACGATCTGCCTTAGGGCTATATAAGGAGGGTCGTTAGTTCAATGAAGCTCGTTGTTCACTGAAATTATGTTTCTTTGTGATTATTTTATGAAAAGACAAGACTACAAATTGGATATTATCGCAATAAATTGTATGTATTTATTGGTAATTTTTTCTTATTAAGTAATAAATTAATGTTATTTGTATATACTTCTATTTTACAGATGTTACTGAGAATGGGAGACCGATTTTGAGAACTGAAAATGATAATGATATTTCGGGCGAGTAGTATTACTTTATCAGTTGTCTTTATATTCTTGTCTTTATTTTCGACTGCACAGATATAGTTTCCGTAGTGTAGCGGTTATCACGTGTGCTTCACACGCACAAGGTCCCCGGTTCGATCCCGGGCGGAAACAATTATTTTTACTATTTTATTTTTCTTAAAAAATTTTGGACACCCTTTAAAATTAAGGAATTGCCAGATTGTATAAACAAAGTTTTTTTTGTTGGGTATTAATTTATTTCTTTAAAAAGGTCAATATACTGTTGTCTTATCATTGATTTTAATGGCATCTATTTTAATATATTATTAAATCGTCTAGAACAGAACAATGAGAATACAGATCCCGAGTGGTTAGCAGATCTTCGTGCTAACATCTCGCAAGTTGTCAACGAGCTTGGCTACGATGAATCCAAGTCCCAGATACAACAACTCGTTGAAGGTAATTTAATATATTGGTGAGTTTAAAATACTTCACGATAAATAAAAAAATATTTGTAAAGTAACGTTTTATTAATCTACAAATGGGACAGAAACGGAAAAGAAGATGAACGTACTACTACACGTTAAAGGTAAGTTTTTATAAGGGATGTGAGATTTTTATATATCTTTCTAATAATATGGTGGTTTTCAATTTTGCCACATAAATACGAACCGATAAAACGAATGAAAGAGTTAAAAGTATTAGGTATATACTTATAACTTTATTTTAAGATCTTAAGCACTACTTGTATTTACTTTATAAAATTGAAGTATAGAAAATGAATTTGATTTGAGATAGCACTTTTGTATAGCACTTTAGTATTTTGTCATTTTGAGAAACATAAAATAAACTTAAGAAAATCACTTTATTACATTGAATTTCAAAAGCGAGTCGTACATTGATTTTATTAATATATTTTGAATACTTCTTAGAAGAAGATTTTGAATACTGTTAATATTTTTCGATACAATGTATACAAGGAGAAATAATTTTATCTTTCCCATAACATTGCAAAATGCAGCCAAATAATAATAGACCCCAGACGGTCTTTGCTTTAGTTTTGTACTTGATTTATCAAAAAGCAATCCCATTTAAGCAGCAATTTAAACCTAGTGGTTAAAAAGCTCGCCTCTCATGCAAGAGGGCGCGGGTTCGATCCTGGCCCGGGCAAGTACCAATGACGTGATTTTTTCGAATCATATGTACTTTCTAAGATTATTTAGACATCACTGATTAATCCGATTCCCAAAAAAAGAGGTTTGATGTCAGGCAGGCGGCCGGTCGTAAAACAATTAGCCAAAACTATTCACAACATGTAAGGCAGACCCTGGCTAAAGCTGGGAAATTGCCAGGTAGAAGAAGAAGAATCCCATATATTAAGACAATATTAACGTTTATAGACCATCTCTCCCAAAAATGTATTGACGTCAAAATTAAGACATTCATATATGTCAGTCTTCGGCCCAGTTTCACCAAATTCTGTTAGATCTAAACTAGGCATTTACTAACGAACTTTCAAGGTACAGTTGTAACATAAGATTGATAATAATAAATTAACCAACTTAAGAAAAATATCCACGAATATACATTGAGTATTTTAATTTAATAAAACAAGTTCGGTGAAAAAAAACGAATGCTGCTTCTCTTCTTTGAAACTGTTTACGCCCAATATGTTTTGTGTACACGGAATGATATGGATAAATTAATAGACAAACCCTTTAAATATATTTTTAAAATTTTTACTTTTAAAATTTTTAATATCGACTTGCAACATAAAGAGTATCGCTTTCAAAAACACATTATACCTATAGGAGAATTCATAGAAATGACTGTGAGAAAAAACGTAAGAATGTGTTAGTTAGGTAAAATTCTTTATATAATCAGACGAAACTTCTCATAATTCAATAAATTCAATGTGCGGTGCCGGGTTTATCGTCACAGGGAGAGGAGCTTCAACAGTGCCTGGGACTTGCGACCCAAGTGTAGGTTTAAGGGGCCCCTATCTAACGGGCGTTAAACGCTCACCTCCACTGTCCAAGCTCTTTTGTCTACCTAACCAATATGAAAAGTTATAACACTTCCCGTAATCAGTAACTAAAATAAATGATTAATTATTATTTATATTCCAGTGGGTCGCGATGGTGAGTTTATAAATCACTTCTATATTATTTAAGTCCTACTTATATGCATGTCTTAATTCAATCATGTACATTATGTACACAGATTATCATAAGTTCGGGTCACCGAATACGGTTGACCACTCTCGGTTGACCTCTTTAGGCTGACCTTGGTTTGTGTTTGATTGTTTAATAATGAAAAGTAAATAATTAGAAATATATATATGTAATGTATTTAACTAGGTACCACGATGATTGAACTCGGCCCGTCTGAACCGTCGTTTAGATCGAATAAAAACAAAAAAGGTTAGTAATTACAATATTAATGATATCACTTCTTATTTTCACAAATATTACCACGCGTTTGTGTTTTTACTAAACACGTGACTATTCTTGTTTTTCATTAATAGATCAACGTAAGTTTTTGACAGAAAAACTATGAACTGCGTGTAATGACTTTGATGATTCAAAATAGTTGTAAGAGTTCACTGCATTTATTTAACCCACGTCCAACGGTTACTAGCTGATATTGTTTTCTCTTGAGTTGTATAATACTAATTATTATTATACTTATTTAATTACAATACTCTGTGACTTCTATTGTATTACAGATTTAAGAACGAATACAGGTAAGTCACAATATAAATAATACAGACAATAAATTAATGAAATAATAAATAAATGTGAATATAGATAATAAGGATTTTGAAATATTAATGTATGTGTCTTTATGTCAAGATCCTTTGTGGCTGACCCAATTCAAAGGTTTCGTGAAATCCTTAGTGCAAAGTTACGGCTTGGAAAAATCTAAGGAAATGTTAAGACACATGGTTAAATGTAAGTTTTTTTTAAGTTCTAACATTACTGATGTATTGAATTCAGTCCTTGTCGTTTTGGAATTAATTAATTAATTTGTTTTGTCTACAATTGGTTGACTCCTGTTGAAATAGCTACATTATTATATGGACATATGATTTATATCGGTCTCTATATAGTTTTGTTAACTGTCAGTAAATTTTGTGACATAAATATGAGAAATTATTGTATTTACATTTATATACATTAATATAATTTTTTTTTTTAGCTTTGGAAAAAAAATATCACGTTAATATACAAGATGTGGATGGTAAATATAAAACAAAGAAATTCGACTGTCAAAATTTAAAGGACTTATAATTAATAATTTTTTTTTGTTTACCATACGAAACAACTTTGAATTATGACAGTCGCGTTGTCCTGATAATTATTTATGTATTAAACTAAAAATTTATAAATATAATTTTGTTTTTGTAGTTAATCAATTCGGTGAGTACATTGAGTGAACAGAATGATCATTTGTCAGAGTAATTACTAGAGGTAGTTTCACTGTCACTGTCATTGTCAATATAATATATTTTTTCCAGGCGACGTTTTCGTGCAATACATTTCTAACAAAAAAAGTAGTAAAAAGAAAAGTAAGTCATTAAAATTATATTTAAATTTTTAAGCAGAATATCAAAAAATGATAATATTATGATAGTTTAAACAGTTTTATATTAATAAAAAACTAATATGTATTGATATATTTTTACAGAAAGTAAGCGAGTAAAGGGTTCGTGGTCTAATGAAAAGTGATGTTTAAACATGATAATTATTGTTTTAAATAAATAAAACTACATATATACATATGTTTTATTAATATTCATCCTTATATTCCTTATAGTCGGCTTCCATACTTAATCTTACTACAGTACTTATTACAGCATCCTTCGACATACTGCGTTACATGTTTTTCATATACCTACTCTTTTATATTTTTTATATGTACTTAATGATTTTCATATCTTTTTTAAGAATAATTTAGATATTATTCATTACATTTCTCACGATGCGTATCTGTTTCCGTAGTGTAGCGGTTATCACGTGTGCTTCACACGCACAAGGTCCCCGGTTCGATCCCGGGCGGAAACAAATTATTTTATTTTTTATTACATTACGTTTGACAAAGAAAATTTCCTCTAATGTAATGTGACCTTAATAATTCCTTGTTTTTAATAGCAATGTGGGTAGTTAAGTTTTTATGGATAGTTAATTTTTTCGAAACGAAAGTTATTTTATGGCTCCATACTGAAACTGTTTGCTGAACTTTATATTATTATGTGATTTACTTAGTATATAACCTGTGTAATGCCAGGAGGAATATATATTTTAGTACATAATCTTTTATGTATAGATTCAGAAGTTTCATAGTGACATCAATCCTAAATCTTGAAATACATATTACAAACGTCTCTATCTACTACCGTTGTTATTTCATTCTCTCAAATCATGCTACGCCACATCCACTGAGATTGTAGGACATACACACACACACACACACACACACACACACACTCACACACACATGTATTTGGGACACAATTTTAGAAGCGATAATTGTATTTGAACGTTTATATTGTTTTCATGTTCAAAATGACCCTTTCAAAAACAATTTTATTTATCAAGCATCAGGGTCTATTGCGAGTGACACTTGTTTTAGGATAACTAGAAAGGGTCGAAGTACTTATGTCAGCTTGTACAAATATTTTCATTAAGCCACTGAAACTAATGTAGATTTGTAATTTAAGTTTGCTTTGTACAAATTTTTCTTACAATAAGAATAGTATGTACATATCGTAGTTTGAATATAAAATGCTAAATCAACGACTCTTGTTAAATGAATATTGTTAGATTGAAACAATAAAACTAGGACTTTTTGTAGGCAGATTCCATCAAAAGTACGTCGCCGCCTGGGGTGACACCATACAGAGGTAATTGAAATACGACCAAAAGAAAACGTATATGTGGGATTAATTCAAATATTCGTATATATATTATATGAAAGAAATAAAAATTATAAATAAAATAGTTAAAGCTACAATCTTTAGCCACTAGGTATATAACTTAATTTTTATAAAATGAATTTTATGCTTTTTGCGGGAACATAATTTTATTGTTCCCGTTGATGCACTGATCCAATTTAGTTGTCCGTGTCATAGTACTTACTCTACTAGAAATAATGTACCCTTAATAATAGATTAAGTTCTTCTTGGTTCGTTATTGGTATCTTAATTGTATAAAAACATATTATAGTATCAAAAATACTTATTTTATGAAGAGATTACTTTCAAAATGAAATTGTGTTTTAGTAACACTCACATTCTATCCAATGAGAATGATTACTTGTGAATCTCTTCGTATGTTTTCAATATAACAGAAAAATTTCTAATTTATTTAAATGAAACTAATATTTTTCGGATATGTTACGAGGTTTATTTTTGTGAAAAACTACATACTCCCGACAGGAGATCTGATCACAGGCAGAGGTGTGAAATATTAGTTTCATTTAAATGAATGAAACTCTCGAAAGTCTTAGATCTCATTATGTCTATTTAATATTTGTAAAGATTTTAGTGAACATATGAAATATTAGTATTTTTCTATTGATGTAAACGATTGTTGTTTACTAGAGAAATGTGTTATATCAATCACGAATTGTTATTTTTCAGTGTTCAGTAATATTTTTATAATTTTTGAAACTTTTGTACTGAGATTGTAAGATTATGTTTTGGTTCGTTTAGTTATGACCCTTTGGAAGAATTTTCGATCCTTAAGAAAAATCGATTCTCTTTTTGTCTAATACTGAGCAATATTAACAACTTCGCGACGACTCGTCTCATGTCCATATCATTGGAAACCGTTGTTTATCATCCAGTCGATATATTTAGGATTACTAAAATTTCTGTCGCAGAAAGTGGACTATCTGCTAAAGCTATTTCCTTAACTTTATTAACGTACTCATTTTTGGTTGATATACTAGGCCCACTGACACGATCATTTTTCTTCGAAATTCACATTTTCTTAAGAATATTTTGTATCACACCTAAACGTTGCTTCGGTCAAAAACAGCCTCACTCTATACATCAAACAATTTCTACAAACAAAACCAGTTATTTCACAGGCATTCTATCTATTCTATTAAAATATAAATTGTGTATTGTAAAATTATGATAAACTTCTTTGAAAAAGTAGATGTAGGTAAACATAGAAACAATAAGTGGAAGAGCGGTGCTCTAATAATACAAGGGGAAGGGGCCGCATAAAAAAAATTGTTATTAAATTAGCTTAAACAATTGCAAATAAATAAACTGAACGTTCAATATCACCAAGCTTGTCAGTTCGGATTTGGACGTTGTATATATGAGTATCTACAAAATGCCATCATAAATCTTCGCGACCCTCAGTAAATCAAAATCCACGATACTTTTGAAGAGACTATGTAACTGTAGTTTTCTTTCCTTCTTGGGGAAAATTGATTTATTTATTCATCACTCAGTTGTACATAAATATTCTTTGTGATATCAGTTTTTTAGTGTACTTATTATTATAATCTAGAATATAGCGAGAAGCTAATTTCTGGAAAGTAAAGTTATTTATTTTTTTATTTTCCTCTCTCCTCTGCATTTTTTCATCGTCATAATTTCACTATTCATTGCTTTCTTTGTGTTAATTGTTTTCACAGAATAAACTTAATAAATAATAATAAAAGCAGCCTCAGAATACTTAATCAATATTCTTTGAAGATAAATAAAATAAAACGACTTAATATCCCCGGTTTGTCGATGCACATTTGTTAAATCATGCACTTAAAAGGGTGAATCGTGCAATAATCGATGTAGAATGTTGCAAACTTCAAACGCAGACTAACTCTGATAGAAAAACGAAGTAAAAATTCAATATTTATTGACAGTTTTTATAACTTTATCTCGCGGGAAGTAAAGGATGACATTTAATTAATTTATTCTTATAACCATTACATCTTTACAACAACTTATAACAACTGAAGTATGGAATTAGAACAGTAAATTTATGAAATATTTACTAATGTTATAGTTAATTGTAAATAAGGGTTGTTACGTACGCGATACATATTAAGTAATAAATGAACATCGCCGGGGCGACATCGTTGTATGGATAAAATATGTATGTAAAATACGTAAGTTACGTAGTTTTCCTGGAACCTCCCGTTGCCACCTTGTATAATTGGGTTGTAAATTTTGTCTTATTCTTTAGTAATGTCAATAAATACATATAATAATTCCATACAAAAGCCTGTAACACAAGGTCACTGACATAATTCCCTGTTTTATATAACACGACTTGACTCACGAATGTGACGTAATTAAGCACTTGCTTTCTGATTTCACTCACTACCCTCTTGACATGGTTTTTGTTGCGGAGACTTTTAATAGCTATGAATGTATCTTTTCTCTAATTTAAGGTTGTAAGCGGATAGTTTACGTTTTCTGATATCGCGATTAAAACTAATAAATCAATATTAAAATATTGATGTTTTGTTTATTTATTAAAGCACAAACGAGGATTTCTATACTTATGATATTTTCATTTAATATTTTTGTTATTATACATCAATTGCCCTACAATAGATTAAGCATAATGTTATCTTCTTATAAGTGTTTTAAATCAAATATTTTTCATTATAACCTCTTAAAATTTTTGTGTCAAATTATTTTAGTAGAGTATGATGAGTAAAAATATAATTCAGCTTCTTTAAGTTGTATATTGTTGTTCGTACATAAAGTAATAAGCTTTATATATAGTTTGATTTAAATCAATGTACTAAATAGTATTATGATGTAAGTGGCTAATAAAAATGGTTATATGTAAGTAATATGGAGTAATTAAACAGCTCCGTCTTTTATTAAACGCCACAAAGCAATTAAGTCGTCTAGGCCGATCATTGATAGAACCAGAATCACTCAACGTTTCTCTATTTAGCATATCCACACTCAGTGTTTGAAGACGCCTCAACGAGACTAAACTGAGTACAAATTAAGTTAAAGCTTTAATCTAGTTTAGATGTAGTAGCCGTTACAACAAATATAGTTTATATTAAGAATATACGTGAAAAGAAAAGTTATATTTAGTTTTAACTCTTTTTGTTTACTGTATTTCAAATTATTAATTCCACTTTTAAATACGATATTAGTATGTAAAGGCGATTTAAAAAATAATATTTAAGAAAGATTTCACTTCTATAATGGTTTTATAAAACCACACGAAAATTTTTATAGCAACCTGTTATGTTATAGAAATGGTTCATTCCATTTTTGCTTACAGGTTTAGAATCAAAAACT